GGATTACATGAGCTAATGGCCCCGACTCTTAGCAGGTGTGAGCAATTTTCACTATGCATCTGGATCACCCAAACCCTAGCCACACCATGGGACAGCTGTGAGCAGGGGCGGGGCGGAGAAGTGACCCAGCCGCAACTCTGTCCCACACTGTACCACAAAGCCCTCCACGTGAGCCTTGACCCTCTGGCCATCCCTCCTTCAGGGCGAGCTCTGCTTTGTCCCTGGACACCTGGCTGACCTAGCAGTGGCAGGCCGTCCACATGGGACAGAGTGCTCCCGTCTCAGTCCTGGGGGACCGCGCCCGCAGCCACGCCTTCATACTACTGCTCCCCTTGATCCTCCACAACCTTGGACGCACGTCTGAATGTCTCCCCACGCCCAGGAGTCCCGTCCAAGTGCCTGTGCCCGGGAGGGACTATATCCAAAACCAGCAGAGGCCAGCAGCCCCAGCTGTCTCCGGCCGCCAGACCCCTGCCACCTGCCTCATTCCCCTGCCCCCGCCGTCTCCACCCCAGACTTAACTCTCTTTCTGGGCCGGTACCTCTAGCACCTGCTCCCGGATGCTTGCTCCTGGCCCTCTGGGCTCGTCTTTATGTATTAGCTGCAGCAGAATTTTGGGGCGGGCAGATATCACCATCTTGGAGGCCATCCAAGGAGCTGGCGGCTGAAACCCTGGGCGAAAACCCCAAGGCCAGGCAGTACCATACCAGGCCGTGGCGCCTCTGACGCAGCCCACAGGTTCTTAAAGGGCCAGGACCAGGCCACAGATGCCCGGCCTGGTGCCTGGCACGTAGACGGAGCCTGTAACGTGCACCCACAAGGACAGGAGGCTCACATTCCCCACGGCGGCTCTGGGGCCTCATCCGGACACTGTGTCCTCGCCAACAGATGGGGCAGCTGAAGAAAAACACCCCATCAACTTCACGAATGAAGCAGACCCTGAAGAAATTCCATCTCTGGCTTCCTGTGACATGGCCACAATGAGGTCGTGGCTGGCTGGACCTGCGGGGACACTGAATCCTCAGAGGCTCACGTGGCTACTTATCACCATCTCCCTTATAATATATTAAGGAAGAGCAAGAGAGACGGGTGCCCAGGGGTGCCAGCTGGGCACACTCACCCGGGCAGGGACACAGTGGCACTGCCAGTACACAGGAAGAGAGACACGCCTGCGTCGTGCCTGGGTCAGGTCTCAGAGGTCCCCCATTGCCCGGGGAGGGGCCGCAGACATACGCCCCTCTGGGCAGAGACACACAGCCTGCCGCGCCCAGCTCTTCCCAGTACAGGTGCCACGTGGGCTCTGAAATAACCACAGGGCACCTGAATGCTACAGGGAACGCTGAGTGCCCTTCATTCGACCCAGGAGGGCTGGGAGGGTGGGACCGGAGCCAAAGATCTTTATCTACATAAGCAAGAGAGGCCTGTGTCACAGCTAGGCCGCGGCCACCTGGTGGACAGGGCCCGGGCAGGCCACGGGCGGTGTCTCAGGTCATACTCCTGGGCCTGCCACTTCCTGGCTGGATGTCCTCAGGCAGGTGACTTCACCTGGCCAAGCCTCTGTTTCCTCATCTCGAGAATGGGAGGTCTCGTCATGCTTGTCCCATGGAGACATTTATACATTCTCGTTGCATATTTTTCCAATGGAACGTTCCTTTGACAGGAGTCAGTGAGATGATGCAAGTCAAGCGCCAGGCATGCCTCGAGGTATTTGGTTAAAGGTGCTGGCCTCTGGTTGGCTCGGCTCCCTGCCCTCCAGGCTCCCCCTGCGGACCGAGGGTCAGGGCACCCTGAGAGGCACCCACCCAGCCCTGCCATGTCTCTCCGTTCCTGTGGGAAGCTGGAGAGAATGTTTTCTGTTGCCATATAAGGCTGGGTCTGCTGGCCTGGGGTCACCTGCCAGGCCTTCAGGGCTTGGAGAATGTCAGCTATGTGGGGGGAGTAGGAGGTGCGCGTCCGTCTCGCCCGCTCCAGTAGTGCAGAGAATGCACAGTCACACGCACACGGGGCATGAGAGGGGTTGCCCACAGAGGAGACCCTGTCAAGTTCAGAGATCGAGGGAAGAGGCTGCGTCCAAGCGTGGCTGTTTAAACACAGGCAACTGGCTCAACCTCTCTGAGTCCCGTTTTCTAGAGCCCAAAATGCACACTCACGGGCTTAGGGTAAGCATTCAACGAGATAATGCCCAAAGCACACCTGGCGCATTGCCTGGCATATGCTAAGTGCAAGAAAATAATCGCAAAAGCTCGAGAGAAACCAAAAGAGTGCATTTCCATACAGCTCTGGGTCCACCCAAGTCTCTGCCTATTTTTACTCCTCAATCTCTTGTAATAACAACAGCTAAGGCTGAGTTGCCCTGCTGCCCTCTGGAAGCTGTCCCACCCTAGGCAGGGAAGAAAAGCCCCCAAAGGGACTGGGATGTTGGCCCTAGAAGTCCCCAGAGCTGGGCTCTGCCCCAGGCAACAGCCCCAGAGGCACCCAAGCACTTGCAGCAAGCGCGAAACCCCGTTCTTCCAGCTTCCGGCTCCTACTGGGTCACTGGGCAGCTGCTCGGTCCAGCCCCCAGAAGCCCCACTCCAGTGAAACTGAGCCCCAAAGGAAGGCCAATCTGGGCTGCTAACATGGATCCCTCTAGAATTTCCCCCTAGAACCTTCACTGCAGCCATGGCCGTGGGTGAAGCAGACTCAGACTCTCAGTCAAAGCGACTTCCTGAGTTTGCAAAGAGCTTCATCTGCCCATCTCCACTGACCGCTGCAGGGACTCGGAGCAGAGTAGGGACCGCTGCTCCCGCTTCGGGCAGGGAAGCGAACGCTCTTCCAGGCTGGGCGGCCAGCAGGGGCCACGGCAAATCTCTGCCCTGGGTTGCACTCCCTGCACCTTTAAGCCCTAAACAAACCAATGATAACAATCAGGACAGCAGCCAGCTCTCCTTATGTGCTCTACATAGATTACATCGCTGCAAAATCACAACAACCTGACTACCATTATGCCAGGTGCCGTGCCCAAGGTCACAGAGCCAACAACACTCTGCCGTCCTCTTCCCTCCCCTCGTGACTCTAAACCACGGTGAGGCCACCTTGACCTACTGCTGTGGGAAGCGGCTTGAGTTCCCAGTCTGATCCCAGAGCCTCCTTCCCCCAGGGGGCCAACAGCCTGCGCCCCGGCAGCCTGGCTCATATTGGGGTCTTAGAATGGCCTCCGGGCAGGGACAGGATGCTGGACCACAGGCTCTGCCGCTGGCTTCTGTGTGGCTTTGGCCAGAGGCTCGCTCTCTTTGGGCATTGGAGTCCCACAGCGTTTGAACATGGCCCCTTCTTCCTCATCCTCTCCAGTCCAGCGCTGTCCAGTCCAGCCCCTGAGAGGCACAGCCCCCCCCCTTTCTGAGCAAAGTCGGTCCCCCTCCCAAAACAACCCTGTAGCCCCCCCACAGTCCGGACCGCCTCCAAGGGCGGGGTTGGCATGGAAAGTCCCACACACTCAGCTCCTCTGGTCTGTCCAACTACAGGCACCTCTCCCCCATCCCCAGCTGTCTCTGGCTCAGGGTCCTGCTGGCTGTGGGTGGATTCAGCCAGCCTGGAGCCCGCCCGGCTGAGCAGCCCAGGGGGCTGTATGAGGTCAGGGTTCCAGGCTCCTGTCCAGAGGGCAAGTGCAGCCAAGACCTGAGGGCTGCAGAGTGAACTGGGAGGGAGCCCGGAAGCCTGGACCCCTGAGATTCCCAGCCAGACATCCAGGCTCTCTTTCAGCTGGGCTCAAGATGACACCAACAGGCAGGGTGAGGATGGCAATGAGGGACCCTGGGGACCCCAGCGTCCTCCACGAGATTCCTTCAGCCAGTGGAAAGAAATCAGAAAGGCTGCCTAGTTCGACACAGTCCAAGAAAGCCAAAGAGGGAATCAAGACTGCAAGCCCCCCTCCCCGCTGAAAGCCTGCTGGCCCCATCCCACAGCCTCCATGAGGGCCCTGCTGACCCCACCGGCTTCCCACTTTGGGACTCAGAGCTGGGCTCAGACTCAGTGGCCCGAGGGAACCAGCGGGGGATACCCAGCCTTGCTGCAGTCGGAAGGCCTCCGCAGTGCAGTCCGTTAAGAAGGAACCTGAGAGACTTCTAGTACCATCCCCGGGGGTCTTCCGTTGTGCCCTGGGCTAGACCAAACACACTGCATGCCTGCCCTGTCTGCGCCCTCAGGGCGACCCTGGCTCTGTACCGAGAGGTCCTCCATGCAGCCCACACTGCTGGTACCCCACGGACACCAGATCTGAGCCCCCGTCCGGCAGAACCCCAAAGCCCCTGGCTACGCTGCCTTTGAGCTCTGGCCAATCCCCGTAAAGTCTACATGCTCCTTACACAAACGTCTACGGGGCTCCCACTGAGTGCCTGGCAACGGCCAGACGGCGTTCTTTATAGAAATCCACCAGGACCCGCTCGAAGGGAGCCTTTCCTAAAAGTTGGAGCAGAAAAGAGCTGTGAGGGTGGGTGTGGGGGCCGGCAGGAGGCCAGCGTGTTCTGTGGTGGAGAGGGCACTGGCTTGTGCGCATCTGGAGCCCAGGGTGCCAAAAGCAGCCTGACCCACACTTGCTGGGCAGCCGTCTAGCCTCTCCGGGCCTCCCTTCGTCTCTCCGCTGTAAAAGCGGGACTGCTGAGAGGCATCGGGGGTCCCTTCCAGCGCCAAATCCCTGTGGCTGGTCCCAGGCGGGCTTCCGGAGAGCCCCCCGGCTGGTATCGGAGCTGCTGGCCCGGCCCTACCTCCCCAGTCTAAGAGTAACAACTTGCAACCCGAGACGCCGGGACCAGAGCAGAGTGGAGGGGGTGGAGGGGGACCTACCTGGAGTCGGAGGCACAGGCGAAGGGGCGGAGGGAGGAAATTGGGGGTAGCCCGGGGGAAGAAGTGGGACCCCAGAACGTTGGGAGCTTTGGGAACGAGCTAACGCCGCGCGGCTCCGGCGACTCGCAAGCTGCCCTCGCGGCGGGGCTAGCAGAGCGAAGGAGGAGGCTCTCGCTTACCCGGTTGATCTCGGCCAGCCTCCGCTCCTGCCGGGCTTTGAGCAAGCCGAACGCCTTCCCTCCTAGAGGAGACAAAGAGACGGCCCGGGAAGTGGGGGTCTCCCTGGGCCGCGCGCCCCCGGGGTCCGCGCCCGCTTCTTGCGCGCGCTGCAGACCCCGCCATGCTCCAGGGGCACGGAGGTGGCAGGCGGGGGCAGAACGCGCGCGGGCCGGGGCACGCGGGACAGCGCGCAGGGGGCGGGGCAGGGCTGTGGGACAGCGGCGCCTACCTTGAAACCTGTTGCTGACCGCGACCGACATGGTGAGCACGGGGCTCCCGCCGGCTCGGGGCTGCACGACCGCGGCTAGGAACGGGAAGGAGGGACGGGCGCCCGGTCGGAGTTCCCGCGGCGTGTGGCGGCAGGACTGAGGGGCGGAGGGAAGGCGCGGGCGGCCGGACACACCCCTCCCTCCCCTGCGGCCCGCCCTCTTCCCTCCCGCCGCCGCCGGGCTGCCGGCCTCAAAGCGGCTATTATGCGGGACGCGGAGCCCGCCGCACACCCCTCTGCTGGAGGACGCGGAAAATGCACCACGCGGGGACCGCCCTCTCCGCTCTTCCCGGGACCTCCACAGCCCCTTTCCCGCTTCGGGCCGCGGCTTCCGCGTAAACAGAACGCGGACGATCTTAGTTCTCACTCTCTGCGTGCTTGCAAAAAGCAAACGCGAGTGGCAGCGGCACGTAGTGATCGCGCCACGAACTGAGGCCGCTACGTTACTATCGCCCGCTGCGCAGCGCGCACTTTCAGAAGGAGGCGTGCTTTCCCAGCACTCATTCCTAACTCTTGAAAGAAAAATATAAAACCGTTTAGTTTTGTTTGAGGAGGGGGGGGTGGTCTAATGACAAGGTGCCACTGGGACATCAGCGACACTAAGTCAATTAGAATGAGTTCGTGTTTTGTTAATAAAACCTATTTCTTGAGCACTCACCGTGCACTGGGCACTTTGCCAGATCAGGAGGGGCTACATTTGTTAAGTCATTTATTCTCAGAAGTCTCTGAAACAGGACCGGCACTCCCACCTCCCAGGTGAGCAAAGCCAGGTGGTGGGCGCTAGGATCGCCAGCCCACCTGGGTGACACATCAAGCTTCTGCCTCCAGGGAGAGTGGCCCCCAGGGTGCAGGAACCCAGGACTTGTAGCAGGCTGACGGGGGAGTTTCCTGCCCAGTTCAGGTCATTTCTGAGACTGAAAGGGGGCACTCCTAACAATTACGCTGAGGTCACAGGTACAGACAGGGACTTTCCTGGGCAAACAGCGCACCCGGTCACCAGTAATCCACCCCCACCCTACACACACACACACACACACACACACACACACACACACACACTGGATTGGATCAGGAATCCTCCTTCCCCACGAGGTTTTGGATCTGGCCAAACTGTGTGACTCGGGCGAGGCACTTGACCTGTTGGAGCCTTAGCTTCCTGATCTGCAGAATGGAGGAAAGAGCACCTCTTACCAAGCTGGGGGCTGTTACAGCTCATTGCTTTCAGGGGCTTAAGCAGATAATAAGAGCTCAGAGGGAAAACGGGCTCAGGACTTATAACCCTCGGCTGACGGGAGAAATTCTACCTGCAGGTCAGAGGGGAGAGCTCACTCAGGGCAAAGCCCTTCTCGCTCACTCCCAGAGCCGGCTCAGGTGGCCTGTTGCCCCAGTCAGTTGGGCTTATTGGCCCCATCAGCCATTCTGCAGGGCAGGGGCGACCCCACCTTCCACTGCTCAGCTGCTGGGCTGCATTGCTAGCCAGATGTTCAACAGCTGCCACATTCCACCCAGCGCAGCCCCACCTCTGGGGCCAGAGAGCCTGGCTATGCAACAGCAGGCATGACCGGCCCGCATGAGTCACGAGATGTCAGGCCTGAGGTACGTCACTGTGGAATGGCGAGGAAGCCTGTTCTCCACCCAGCAGGGACGCTGGGACTAGGCTTGAAAGATCCCAATTTAGCGCCAAGAGCAGACACCACCAGGAGGCCGTGTACCTCTGTCAGCAGAGGAGCCGGTGGGGGGAAGGGGGAAGCGGGGCCTGGGGGCACCAGACCCTGCCCCAGAGGTCTTCAGAGAACCCCCATCTCCTTGGCACCACGTGCACCAGGCACCAATCATCAAACAGACTGTGCAGTAGCAGCCTCCTGTTTCGACCTCCCTGCCCTCCGTCCCCCCTCCCAAATCTACCAGGTCCCTCCACAGGGCATTGATGTGTCCACCGCAGCCCCCGCACGGCCGCCCTGCCTCGGCTGGTTTCCAGCTTCTCTTACGGAGGAACACACCTCTTCTCTGAGTGCCCTTCCCCAGCAGGTTGGTGGGGGCACACCCAGCTCTCATTCCAAGTCCTTGGACACAGGGACCCTTGTTGTTCCGAGCAAGAGTCGGGGGGCGGGGACCTGGCCCGAGCTGGGCCGCCTTCCCTGGAAAGGCGGAACCTGGGCAGTTTCCAGTCGTTCTGGCTGTGGATTTGACCTGAGGGCTTGTGACCTTGGGTGCCATGGTGGATGGAGCAGAGGGAGCATCTTCTTTCAGCAAGTGCAGGAAACGCAAAGGAAGCTGCTCCACAGGGAGACCAGACCGCAGTGCACAAGGCGGGGCCGGAGGCAGAGGCCAGGGGAGAGGACGGCTGCTCACCCCCAGCCCAGCAGTCTGGGAGGCCACTCCAGCCCCGGGCGGCCTCTGAGGCCTGGCAGCCCTTCCCACTCCAAGATTCCAGGAGACCCTCCCATGTCCTCCGAACCTGAACTCCCTTGAACCAACTCCATCCGGGCCTAATTGGCAAGGGCCCTGTGAGCTCCATAGTCTTGCCCGCGCAACCTGTGTTTCTGGAGTGCCCTGTGCTGGCCCAGCCCCTCCTTGCAAACCCTGGGCTGTTGCCCACCCTCCTGCCTGGAATGTTCCCCTGTCTCCCTACTCTCCGGGACCTGACCCAAAGCCCTCTCCCTCCTCCTCAATGGTGTCCCTCCCTCAGCCTCTCTCTGCTGCTGGACACTTGGTTTTGAGTTCATTCCCTGCCTCAGTGTCTTCAGACGGAGCTCCAGCAGTCAGCTGAGGGCCTCTCAGCACCCCGCCCTTCAAACTCCCCAGCCCCTCGACTTTGCCTGATAGCAGAGAGCAGATTTTCCCTGGAGCAGAGGGGAGAGGGTAGGCGCCTTGGTCTCAGGACCCCAGAAATATCCCCCCAGTGGGCTCAGCTTTTGCCACGTTCCTACTGCTGTGTGTGGGCCCAGATGGACTGATGCACATCCTTCTTCCCACTCCCTGGGCACTGGGTGTGTCACGCACCTGGGGTGTGCCCTGTGTGTGTCCCCTCAGCCAGGGTCCCTGCTGCCAGCAGCATGGGAGGACCAAAGGCATACCACCCAGCTAGTAAAGAGGTCCTTTATTTCCACATTAAACAGAATTTGACTGCTGCTGTCTGTCCCCCCTGCTGGGGGCAGACAAGCTGTGGGAGGGGCCCGGGTCCTGCGGTCCCACCCTCCCGGTGCCAAGGCCCTGCCGTCTGGAGGAGGGCCCAGGGAAAGGGGAGCAGCGGTGGCGGGGGCGGGGAATGCCAGGGAATCCTGGGCAGAGGCTGCAGGGGGGCCTGGCCACAGGGGAGTCCCCAGCGGGACAGACTGGAAAGGCAGCCAGGCCTCCGTGCCCAGTCCAGCCGAGGCCTCCCTCACCGCAGGTAGGGCCGCAGCGCCTCAGGGCCGGTTTGGGAAGTGTCGGTCAGTCAGAGGCCTTCCGAGGTCAGCGGGGTCACAAAGGGGAGCTCCCTGCTGCCTGAGCCCCCTGACCCCAGTGCCCTCAGGCCCTTGAGGCCCAGCTCTTCGGACAGGCCACAGGCTGAAAGCGAGGGGCGCCAGGACCCTGAGAACGAAGTATTCCAAGAAGCCAGTGGCCCTGGCCCGGGAGCCCTGGGCCTCGGTTTGATGAGCCCCTAGGATCTCGGGTTTCTTGGCCCGTCTGTCCCTTGGCTGTGCAGAGCTGCTGTGTATGTGTGTAGGGGTGACAGGGGTGGGACAGAGGGCAGCTCTGGGACTGGGGCTCTGGCTCTTGCTGAACCCACCCTGGGTCTCAGCCTCCCAGGTACCGAGCCGGCCTGGGCCCTGCTTCCAGGAGAGAGTGTGAGCATGTTAGTGCCACAGTGTGTTCAACGCAACTCCCCGGCGTCCAGAGGGTGTGCAGCACACAGTGGCGCTCAGTAAGCAGCTGTGCATGGATTGTACTGTGTGTGTGGGCACAGGTGGACTTGTGCACGTGTGTGTACCACGCCCACAGGCATGTGTCCACAACGTGTACATGTACTGTTGACACTGCGGTGTGCGTGTCCACATGTGCATGGCGGGGCGTGTACACAGGGCTGAATGCTGAGCATACTCGCCTCGGGGACCGAGAATGCACACTGACTCCTGCTGGGGGGGTGGGTATGGGCGTGGACCCAGAGAGCCTGTGTTCCCTTGGAGAACTCGCAGCAGCAGCCTCTGGGTGCACTGGTGGGTGCGGTGCGTGTTCTGGGCCGGGGTGCTTACTGCCAGCTGGCACAGCTCTCGGGCAGACTCTGCAGGATGGCCTCCAAGTTCTGCTTGTCAGCACGGACCTCGGCGAGGTCGCTCTCAAAGCCCTGGATCTGCAGCTCCTGCCGCTCAGACTCCTGCTCCAACAGCCTCAGTTTCGCCTGCAGGGACCCGGGTGGGCCCAGCCGCAGCCTCAGGCGCTCCAGTGCTTGCTGGGTCTCGTTCAGGGCCTGGGCTGGCGCTTGATGGGTGTCCAGTGTCCCTGTAGAGCGGCGGAGAGCCTCAGCGTGGGCCAACTCCCTGCCGTCCCCAGGAGCTGGTTCAGCCCCCACCCCAGAGGCCCTTCCCAGTCCAAACCTCCCAGGATTCCGACTGCCCACGCTCCACCGGGAAAGCAAGGGACCGGGGGGTGGGGGGCAGTGTGGGGAGGACTGGATCTGGTACCCCGCCAAGGTCATGTGCCAACTTAATGCTCCCCCTGACAGGTGGCACTGTGGACGACTGTTGATTTTTGTCATTGGTATTACTACTATTGTTTAAAAAAAGAAGGCCTTGGGTGAATGCTAGCCCCAGTCTCTCCATCTGTAATACAGTGGTGCGTGCAAGGTCCCCATGATGCCAGCTGGCTCCCATGCACCACATCACATCGCCAAAAGCACACCTCTATGGGGACCTCTGGCACTGGGTGCGGGCGGGGGTGTGGGTGGACATGGGGTCTCTGGCTTCAGAAGGAGCGCTCGGGAGGCAGACCTGGGAGCGGACGGCCCGGCCTAGCCCTGGCCCCGCATGGGCAGCTCTATTTCTCAGGGGGGAGGACTTCGGGGAGCCTCCCCAAGAGTAAAACTGAGGGTGGGGCCCGGCGTTCACATGTGAGCTTTGTGGGGACATGGCACGGAGTCCGCAGGCTGCCTGCCCCGCCCGGCCCTCGTCACTAAAGGTGGCATTCAACAGGAAGACAGCTCAGCATGGTAAGAGTGGCAACGATGAGGAAGTAAGTTCTAAATGGCTTCTTTTAAACCCACGGGATCTCACTGGGCCCCAGGGCCTCGAATTTCCTGGGCAACGAAGGCTTCATGAAGGGCAGGCAGCTGCAGCAGCGGGGGCCCGGGGCAGGAAGAGGCAGAGCGGGCTGAGCTCTGATGTCTGAGCAGGTCCTGCTCCCAGCAAAGACCTGGAGAGGCCCCACTGTCCCCCAGAAAGTCCAAAAAGCCTGGCCTTCAAGGAGATTCTGAACTGGGTTACAGCCTCCATTCTACCCGCCTACATGAGGCTCCCAGGGGCGGGGGCAGGGGTGGGGGCCGGGTGGTGCTGCCACGAATGGATGAACGACAAGGACAACAGCTGGAAAGGTTTACCCTCACAGAGCTCACAGGAAGACCCCGAGGGGCCCCCAGGCCCCAGGGGGTCAGGGCCCAGCCTCGGGCCTCCTTACCCAGCCTAGCAAGCAGCTCAGACAAGGCCTTGATGTCCTTCTCCAGGGAGGTGCGCGATGCTCGGATCTGCCGCTGCGTCTCGCTCAGCCCGGCACCCACGTTCTGGAAGGAGGAAGGAGGCAGGAGGAAAGAAGAAGGAGGAAGGAGGAAGAGTCGGAGCCTGGCTCCTGCTGGCTCTGGGGCCAGGAGGAACAGGGCAAAGGCCTGGGCCCAGGTACCTGCTCAGCTTCCTCCAGCTCCTGTCTCTGCGCTCTTGAGGCCAGCACCTGCCGGGAGGCCTGTTGCAGCGTCGCCCGCATCTGGCTGGACAGACGGCTGGCGTGGCGGCGTTCCTGCTCCCCCTCCCTCAGCAAGGCCTTGGCGCGCTGCGATGGGTGACACAGTGCAGAAGAGGGTGAACACAGCCTGTCCTTCTAGAGGTAAAGACCGCAACGGCAGTAACACCAGCAGGTGTGACAGAGTCAGCGAGCACTGCGGAGACACCCGTCCATTAGAATTGGGTCCCCATTAAAAAAGAACAGCCTGGAGGCGTGGGGAATAAGGCCACACAGACCTACGGGTGAGTCCTCCTCATGTGATTTAAGTTACTGATGCAGCTAGACCTCAGGTTCCTCATCTGTCCCACGGGGACAGCCATGACGCCTGTTTCTTGAAGAATCAACAGGGTCACCCACATGAGGCTCCAGAGCTCAGAGCCTGGGACCCACAGAGCCCTTGGTAAATGTGGAATAGGCGGCACTGCATCCCGGCAAGGAAGGGGCAGATCTGCCAGGGCAGCTCTTAAATGACAGTTCTCCCACAGGGACACCATCGTCATCACATCTGTGGCCCTGACCTTGGCACTGTTCCTGGCCAACAGCTCGGCTTCCTTGCCCTTTTTCTTGGCACTGGAGGAGACAGGTGCTGCATTTCCCAGCATCCTCTCCGCCTGCTTGGTCTTCTTTCGCGCATCCGCGAGGAGCCTGCCGCGGATGACGCCGGCCTTCCTTCTCAGCACAGCCTGGTCCTTGGGCCGAGGGAACTGCGGCTTCATTCCTGCAAAGCCGGCCGAGGCTGTCAGAAGGGCCTGGCGCATGGCTGGGGAGCCTGCCAGTGGCCCGACCAGCCCTGGACCCTCAGACAACATGAACGGAGGGCGAAATGCAAGCGATCCCAGGGTGGAGGGGCAGGAGGGGGAGGGCAAACAAACAAGTGAGACATACTGCCCAGTGAATTTAAAGATTCATATTATATTATGGCCCTGGCTGGTGTGGCTCAGTGGATTGAGCACCCGGTCGCTGGTTCCATTGCCAGTCAGGGCACATGCCTGGGTTGCAGGCCAGGTCCCCAGTAGGGGGCGCTCAAGAGGCAACCACACATTGATATTTCTCTCCTCTTTCTCCCTCCCATCCCTTCTCTAAAAATAAATAAATAAAATCTTGGAAAAAAAGAAAAAATAATTTAAAAATAAAGATTCATATTATGATACTTATTAAAGTCACAGATTACACAGTGGTCAATGCGTGGGCCACTATTGGGGAGGGGGAGCCACAGCACACTACACAGCAGAATCCATTGAGCTCTTTGTTTACAGGTGTGACTTATTTTTTTTTTTAAAGATTTTATTTGTTTATTTTTAGAGAGAGGGGAAGGGAGGGAGAAAGAGAGGGACAGAAACATCAATATGTGGTTGCCTCTTGTGCACCCCCTACTGGGGGCCTGGCCCACAACCCAGGCATGTGCCCTGACTGGGAATCAAATGTGCGACCCTTTGGTTCGCAGGCTGACACTCAATCTGCTGAGCCACGGCAGCCAAGGCTTATGTACTACCTATTCCTGAAAAGGCTTTGAGGTACTCTATAGCAATAAATAAATCAAGTTGGACCATTAAAATGAAAAATCGAGGGCCACCTGTAACTGGCAGGGAGGTAGATAAGAAAGGGAAGAGGAGGAGTGAGAAGTGCCAGAAAATTATGATAATGACATTGCAGGTACTAAATGCCGTATATACCACTGAGCTTCCTAGCAGCCAAGACAAAAAGGGAAATACAATTCACATAGGTTTTATTATCTTACAAGAAGTAGTTTCCTTGTGTAAAAAAGAGAGGGAGACTGTTTCCTTTCCTTTCAGACAAAATTATAAGGGAAATTTATCTTACCGAGTACTGGTTACAGTAGACAAAGTCAAATTTTAATAGGAATCAAGCCTTCTAATCTTTGTGGGTATCTCTTGACATAATTCCTTTACGAAGATAACCCAGAAATTAGATCTACTTTGCTTCTTCTACACAAAATTGATGGCTGTAAAAGCGTACTTTGCGGAGTCCTAATTCTACAGGGGGTTAAAAAATGCCAGGGAGAAATGTCCATGGAGTTTAAATCACGTGAACAGGTTTCCTTCCGGCAGGACTTCTCGGAGCCTTTGCTCTCCTAAGGTGGACGCTGTAGGCCTCAGAGGGTGCGAGAGCACACGCATTTCCTAAACTTACTGGAACACAAGCCCTCTCCCGGGACAGCGTGCGGCAGGCCAGGGGCGGGAGCACACCCTGGGGAAGGCTGCGCCACAGGCCATTCGGCCAAGTTTTCTTTTTTAAAAAACAAATTTTTTCCCCAGCATTTCTGTATATAATTTTTTTAGAAGATTTTATTTATTTATTTTTAGAGAGGGGGAAGGGAGAAAGAGAGAGAGAGACGTCAGTCAGTTGCCTCTTGCACACCCCCAACAGGGGACCTGGCCGGGAACCCAGGCACGTGCCCTGACTGGGAATCGAAGCAGCCACCACTTGGCTCACAGGCTGGTGCTCAATCCACTAAGCCACACTAGCCAGGGCCCATTTAGACAAGTTTTCTGCCACCCTGAATGCCAGCTGAGCACAGGCCAACTGGTGGTAAGAGAGGATGTCTCTGGAAAGAGGTGGGAATGGGATAAAGAACCCAGCTTAGAGGTTGGAGGTGCATCCTTGTGTTGATTGCAAAGCAGTGGCAGGGAGGCAAATTTCCATTTAGTGCCTGCAAGAACTTTCTTTTTCTCAGAGCCATCCAACAATGAGAAGGTGATACCTTGTGAGGTAGTGAACACACCATCATTAGAGGCAAGTAAGCTAAGGTTCAATGAGTCCCCTGTCTGGTGAGGGGGTTGTGGCACATGACTTTAGGACCTCTTATAATTCTGATGTTCTAAAATCCTAATATTCCATCATTACATATCATTGAATTTAGAGACAAGCGCACACAACCACGCCTTTCCCACCAGAAGTCCCCTAACTGATGGGTCCCCAGGACTTCAGAGTGTGGAGGAATCTAGAGAACAGGTGGCGTTGCCCAGTTCACCCTCTGCCCAGAGGCTTGGAGCCCGCGGCTGGAGTTACATCTCTTACAGGCAGTGGGTGGGACTGGGAGGGAGGCTGCAGAATCAATGTGATGGTAGAGACCTGACTTCTGGTCTCAGACCCTAAGAGGCATCGGGGGCTCAGGGTGTGTTCCTGCCTTATCCAGCTCACTGGGACAGAGAGCCATCCATAAAGGGTGAGGTGGCTTCCCTCTGGAGCAAAGAGGACGTCACAGGAGCCCACAATACAGGGGGTCACCAAGGTGAAGGTGGATAATGCTGGCTGGTTTCTATTCGGCTCAGCTCTGATCCAGGGATAGATGTCACTTCCTTTCCTTGGTCTATCCATCTGTAAAAGGGGGGCATTTAGTCTCATTTTCCTAAAGCTCAACAAGAGACCTGGACTGGCATCGCCCATACCCCCTTCTGAAGAGAAACTCTGTGTTTCTCTGTAGCCCCAACTTAACACTGGACCACAGTAACCACATTTGTCACAAGTAACGGGAGCCCTGGCCAGAGCGGACTAGACTAGGACCGGATGGCCGATGGCATCAGATTCCCTTCCCATGTGGCTCCAAGGGGCTCTGCCAATGAGGACGGACGGCCACGTGGGCAGGTACCTGGTGAGAAGTGTGTGAGGTGCAGAAGGAAGAGCAGCCACGGGAAAGGTCCCAGAGGAGGGAGCTGTTCGCTTGGCCAAAGCCCACATGACTGGACTCCTGTCCCCTGCAGCCAAGCCTGTTCAGGGGGCTGCCAGGGGCACTTGTACCTCAGTGAGTCTAGGGCTCAGCAAGGCATGCGTACCTTCCAGGTCAGCCAGCAGGGTCCTGGCCCCCATGACGGTCACTGCGGCAGCCTGGACAGAGGAGGAAGCCCGGCTCAGGGCGGCTCTGGCCTCATGTTGCAGCTGGAGAGAGAAGGGAGGGGCTGGGCAGGTGGCATCGAGGTGCGCTGCCTGGAGTCTGGCCAGGCGGGCACCGCACCCACCCATACTAGGTCCCAAAACATCCCCCAAACTCTGACCATTAATTATGCTGTTTGCCAGGAATATCTGGTTTGTTTTATTATGCAAATATTAATCCCCGAATCTCTCTCCCAAGAAGTTACCTGTCCTGGAAAAGCCTGAAGGAATACAAACATGACAACTAAATGGAGGAAGGACAACCAAAGACTCCTTTTTCTTTTTTTTAAAAAGATTTTATTTATTTATTTATTTCTAGAGAGATGGGAAGGGAGGGAGAGAAACATCAATTAGTTGGCTCTCGCACGCCCCCTTCTGGGGACCTGGATGGCAACCCAGGCACACGCCCTGACTGGGAGTCAAACCAGCAACCTTCTGGTTTACAGGTCTGCCCTCAATCCACTGAGCCACATCAGCCATGGCCGAATATTTCTTTTCCGAACATTGCTGTATCTCAAATAGCAAATCTGTTTATTACGCAACTTTTAACTTAGAAAATCAGCTTCTTCCCCCTGGTCACTAAACAAGACCAGACACAGAATATGGGTTTGATGGATGAACAGGTACACAAAATGTGATTCATCCATGCAATGGAATATTATTCAGCCATAAAAAGGAATGAAGTACTGATACACGCTACACTGTGGATGAACTTCAAAATCATGGTAATTGAAAGAAGCCAGACACAAAAGGCTACATATTGTATGGTTCCATACGTGAAGTATCTAGGATGCATAAATCCACAGACAGAAAGCAGATGGATGGTTGCCAAGGGCTGGGGGGCGGGGAGGGGAGGGAGAGCGAGGAGCGACTGCTTAACAGTCACAGGGTTTCCTTTTGGGGCGATGAATGTTTTGGAACTAGACGGAGGTGGCGGCCGCACGACACTGGGAAGGCGCTAACTGCCACCACACTGCACACTTAAAAATGGTTCGTTTTGTGTTATGTGAATTTCAGCTCAATAAAAAATAATGAATAAATAACATGGTGCTGACTGGTGTGGCTCAGTGGGTTGGGTGTCATCCCGTACATCAAAATGCCATGGGTTTGATTCCCGGTCAGGGCACATGCCTGGGTTTTGGGCGAGGTCCCCGGTTGGGGGTGTGCAAGAGGCAACGGATCAATGTTTCTCTTGCACATTGATGTCTCTCTCCCTCTTTTTCTCCCTCCCTTCTGCTTTCTCTAAAAATAGATGAAGACTACTAAATAGATAGATGATAGATAGATAGATAGATAGGTAGATAGATAGATAGATAGAAAGAAAGAAAGAATGGTTTTGAAGAGCCATGAAATGCTGCCCTGGAGCCCACGTGTCTCAGTCTGACTCTGACCGCTCAGCTGTGTGGGAAGGGGGGTGGAGGGGGCAGGGAGGCGCTGTGGGGGGCGGGCACGACGCTCTGGGCTCCATCCCAACCCTGCCATGGCTCGCAGAGACCCAGGGAGGCCCCTCCCTCCTTGGCATTCCTGCTCCGGATAAGGGTGATGGACCAGATCAGGGGTGCCACCCTGGGGCCCTCCACACAGCTCAGGGCCCCCAGTATGTGCTAGGCTCAGGGCCCAGCTCTTCAGAGGCTCTCTTCCCATGCACAGCCTTATCCCTATTCTGTTTTAAAAAGGGAAAACAAGGATGGCCCCGGAGAAGGCCTTTCCATGATCCGCGTGGGGATCTGAGTAACCTCGGCGGCTCAGTTCGCCGCACCCCGTCGTGCGGCTGCCTCACTCGGACACTGGGCCTGTGGTGAGTCAGCGAAAACGCTGACGGAAGGCGGATCTGTGCACGGGACACAGGGGGATGCTTTGTGCTCTCTTTCCACCCTTTCTGCAAGTCTAAATTTTTTCCCCCAGTGTAGGCTCAATTAACCCCATAATTCTGCTTGAATTTTCTGATCGTTTAACACTGTCTCCACTCTGGGCTGCAAATGCCCTACTGCGTGGTTTAGTGCTATGTGCAGAGTGGACGCTCTATTAATATTGGGCAGGTGAACCAATGAATGGAAGAACGAATGAATTAGACCCACCCCAGTGCAACTAAGGCTGAATAAGGGTGGCAGGCATGGCTCTGGGTGCTGCTGTCTGTCTATCCTGCTCTCTGTCTGTCTATCCTGCTCTCTGTCTGTCCACCCTGCCTCCTACCCTTGCTGACACTGAGCTTCTCTGGAGTTTGGGGGGGAGGTCCTGGAGGGAGGAAAAGGACAGCTCTGGTCTTTGCCCCTTGTGCCCCTGCAGCCCCACCCCCAGATCACCGCTGGGGCAGCCTCAGCCTCCTCCAGGTGCCCGCCTCAAAGGACCAAAGCCCACCTGTGTGAAGGGCTCTGTCTGGTGCAGCGCAGCGTGGGCAGCCGCCTGGAGGGCCCGGGCAGCCTCCGTGACCTCACGCTCCCTGGAGGTGACCGTCTTCTCTAGGGCCTGCACCTTCAGGCTCAGGTCCCAGGTCCCAGACTGCTGAGGCTGCAGAGAGACGGAGGGCTCAGGCAGGGCCTGGCAGGAAGGCCTGCGGGGCAGGTCCTCTCCTGGGTGAGAGGTGCCAGGGGGCAGGGGCAGCGGGAGTAGGGTCATGCGGACAGAGGGAAGCAGAGGGGCGAGGCTCAGGGTCAGACCTGTCTCCTGAGGCCTGGATTCCAGCCCCACCAATCTCTAGAAGCCTCAGGCAAGTCAGCTGACCTCCCAGACCTGCATTTCCTTCCCCAGGTTCACAATGACTTAGCCGAAACCTTGGGCTGGTGTGCTTCCCAGTGCACACCCTCTGGGCTCCAGGGCAGCGCCCGCCGCCCCCCGCCACCCCTGTGCAGGTGCCGCACGTCATCTGGCCGCAGCATGTCTGGGAAACCAGCACTCAGGGCCAACGCATTACCGCCTGCGCATCTCTTCACACCCCGGTGGGCGCAAGCAAAGACACCCCCCCAAAGCAGCCTGGGCTGGTCAGTCTGGCTCACGGTTTGCCTCTAGTGTGTCTGTATAAGCTTAGGCTTCGTTCAAAGTTCAGTTCCCGAGTTTGGGGATTTCAGGGTCACTGAGAAGCCATGATGCTGATTTATCTTGATGTGATGAGTGCAGGGTGGCAGGGACAGAGGGGACGAGGCTGACACGCACTAGGGGCCACCTTGTGCATTACTGACCGATGCCCCAAACCCCGCCTCCTCGTGGACCTAACCCAATGGGAGAGCTCCACCTGACAGACAAGTGAGGCACAGGGAGGCAGAGCCCTTGACCAAGGTCTCGGCGGGAGCCTCGGAGCTGGGACTGATCCCGAGTCCATCCGGTGCCATTGCTAATGCCACCGGGATGAGGAGGAGCCCCGCCTTGATATTATTATTGTGATCGACAACCAAGATCGCAGGCGGCAGAGCCCTGACTGTGCCAGGTGGGCGTCCTGCCAAGCCCTGGAGGCGGATTATCTTGTTTTTTATCAACCCCTTGGGAGTTAAAAATAAGCCCCATCATCTGCCTCTGCCTGGCCCACACGGCTTTCCCGGGTGCCACGCTCTCCCCTGTCCCCACCCCGTGTAGAGGGCCAAGGACGCCGCCGTGCTGACCTGTGCTGTGGGGGTAGCCAGCGAGGTCAGGTGCCGGGCTGCTTCAGCACCAACTTGGTGCGCGGTGGCCAGCGCCCTCTCAGCTTTGGGCAGCACCTGCGCCACAGCCGCGCCCAGTGCATTCTGGGCCGCCTGGACCTCCTGGTACCTGAGGGGAGACGGCGTTGGAATGGCCCCAGGAACAGGGTGCAGGGCCTTCCTTCCCATCGCTGTCCTGCGCCCCCTCCCCCAGCCATTGGTCTCTCAAGGCCTCTTCCAGCTCCCCAGGCAGAGCTTCCCTGCCGCGGCCTCAGAAGCAGCCGCCACTCTGCCGATTTCAGACAAGTGGAAACGGCAGTAGAGGGACCGCATTCTTGTTTCTCTGTTCCCTCAGTTCAGTCACGCGTCTCTGAAGGGCTCACACTTGGTTTCCACTTGAGAATCATGTGTTCTGCAAATGTTTGGCTCCTCTGGATCAATCGTGAAGGGGAATGTGCTTGGCATCCGGAAAGGGGCAGCAGTCCAGGCTGGCGACCTTGGGCGACCTTGGGCATGGAGACCCCGGGGCTGCATGATTGCTCCATGGCCCTTCAGCCCTGAGGTGCTGTGATCCAGCGGTCACCAAGCTTTCTGGTAACAGGGACCAGTTTCGTGAAAGACAATTTTTCCACGGTTGTGGGGGGTGAGAGGGGACAGGGGAAGACAGGAGACGGACCTCGGTGGTAATATAAACAGAGCTTCGCTGGCTCACCTCCTGCTGTGCGACCGGTACCAGTCCGTGGCCTGGGGGTCGGGGACCCCTTCTGTAATCAACCAACTAGAACGGCTTTCCTGTCCTGTCCTGTCCAGCTGTCCACACTGACCCCCGCCCAGCTCCAACGGCCATGGGCACTGCTGGGGTGGTGACCCCTACCTGGCGCCCTCCCACCCCTCCCCCATTGTCTGAGAGCCAAGACCCCCAAGAATGCGGAGTGGGTCATGAGACCTCCCCCAGCCATGCTGGTTGGCTCAGGACTGACCACCTGATCTGAGCTGGGCCACGCCCATCTAGGAAGTCCACTTCGGGCTCGGGCTGACCTCAGTGGGTCTCCGCTGGCCCTTTGACTAAGAGGGCAGTAGAGGGGCCACCCACAGCAGAGAAGTAGAGGCTAAGGAGAAGCTGGTGCCAGGGAGAAGCTGCCTCGGGGGCCTGGGGTGGGCCTGGGGTGGGCCTGGGGTCGCTGCAGGGAAGAGGGGGCCTTCCTGGTTCAGGGGGTTGTCCCTTCTCTCAAGCAGCAAAGCTGCACCCCCACACATGAGTGGGTTCTTATGGCACCACCCACTGGTTCCAAGACCCCAGGCATCCCGACCACCTGTAGAGACCGGCAGGGAAAGGAGGCCAGTCCTGGAACCAGCAGCCGCTGGCCAGGCCCCTCTGACTCCAGGAGGCCAATCCAACCTCCTGCCTACACCTGGGAGGCCTCACCTGTCCTCTAGCTCCCGCTGAGCCTCCAGGGCCGCTCTGCCCTCCGCCAGACTCCAGAGAAGCGAGTAGCAGGTGTGGGAGGTGAGCAGAGCCCTCTGAGCCGTGGCCTTGATCTTGGTGGCGGTGTCCTTGTGGCTGCATGAAAATACCCACCGACGGTGGCCAAGAGCCCACAACAAAGGGGGGCCTTGGCCCCAAACCCACACCCCCCATGGCCCGGGCCTCTGGCCACCCCAGAGTACAGCCAGGCTCTCTGCTGGCCGCACAGCAGACTGACAGAGAGTGGACGTGCCCCCGTTCCTGTTTATATACGCAGTTTATGCCTGTTGTCCTGGCAGAATGAGAAATAGGGCCCTTTACCACACGGGCTAGCTCGGCTTGGACACTAAATCTATACGGTCACCCTAATAGAGACAGCATGGGAGAGGGCGGTCGAGGGAGCCTGGGTCTGACTCCCCACTCTCTCACCTCCAGGCTGTGTGTCCTTAAGCAAGTCCCTGACGCTGCTTTCTCATCTGTAAAATGGGTCTGAAGTCCCTAGAGTACAGCTGAAGGGGAAAGCTGCTGTGGATGCTGTGTTTTTAGGACCTTAAGCTACTTCTTAAAGGCAATGGATAAACAAAATGTGTCACGTCCATACAACGAATCATAGTTGGGTGTAAAAAGGGGTAAAGTACTGGTATGTGCCACACAGGGGTGGATCCTTGCAGCCATTCTGCGAAGGAGAAGAAGCCAGATGCTAAAGACCGTACACTATGATTCCCTGCATGTGAAATGTTCAGGATAGGAAAACCCATAGAGACAGAAGTAGGTTGGTGGCTGCCCGGGGCTGGGGACATTGGAGAGAAATGGGGACACGTGCCTAGCAGGTGCACGGCTTGCACTGGGGTGACGACAATGCTCTACAACTGACTGCACAGCTCTGAGAATGCACCGAAAACCACTGAATTGAACTCTGTGAGCGGCTGGACTTTGGGACAGGCCAATTTTATCTCCATGTAGCTGTTACTTTATAAAAGACAGTAGATGCTCTCAGATGCCTTTGGTCGGCCAAGGGGCCTCTGGTCCCCACCCCTACATCCCCAAGGGGCTCACGCTGTCCTCCCCACCTGTCTTGCCCATGGTGGCGACCCCTCCCCCCCGACCAGCAGCTCTTGTCCTTGTTTGATTCCAACTCCTGGAGCGGGGGGACCTCAGGGGGGCTGATCCTGACCCTGGAACCCCCAGAAGAAGGACTGGGCTCCCTTCAGAGAGGCATGGGCGGGGCCCGGGGGCTCACCTCCTGGCGAGGACACGGGCCTCTGTGGCCAGGTCGCTCCAGTTGGTGGGCTGGCCGGGGACTTCCTGAGGAATCACCTTTAGAGAAAAGAGGCACAGAGTCCAGAACTGATGGCTCACCCTTGAGGGGCCAGGGGGTCACCTGGCCAAGTTACTGGGCAGGACCGGACCGTGCCAGTCACTTCAGAGATGCTCTAACTCAGCACCGGGGGAGCGAGCAGAGCCCTGGAGCGTGGAAATGAGAGGAACAGCACCTCCTGCTGGCTGGGCATGCACTGCCCGCTTGGACGATGCCTCGCCCTCTGCACGTGTCACCTCGCTGGACCAGCGGAGGGGGTTCTGAGGGTCCCCCATGTTGGCAGGTGGGGAAATTGCGCTTCCCAACAGGGGAAGGAGACCTGCCCCCGGTCACCAGGTCAACAGCACCGAGCCCAGGCTCAGTGTGGGGAGGGGACCCCCCAAGGTACCAGAGACGCTAGGACAGCAGCGGCGTGCCGAATCTCCTCCTCCGAGGACTCCAGCGTCGCCTCCACATCTGCCAGCTGCAGGCAGGTCTTCTCGGCTCCGGCCTGGCCACAGCGGGTGCCCCTGCTCAGCGCCTGCAGCGGCTCCCGGGCAGCCTTCACGGCGCCCTCGAGGCTGGTCACCCGCACCAGGAAGGCTTCCCGGAACCCTGCAGGGGCCCAGGGGATCACAGAGCGATGGAGCTTTCACATTAGAGCCCCCACCCTCGGGGGACCCCCCCGACCCTCCACTCTTCCAGGCGCAGTTTGACTCTGGCACCAGGTCCCAGCACCCCCAGTCAGTCTCCGAGGGAGAGTGGCCCTGTTTCACAGAGGCTGAGGCTGAGGCCCAGGGACCCGAGGGCCCACACGGGAGGCCAGCCGCAGGCAGGGACCTGGCAGGGGCCCAGGCCTCCACGGCGACAGCAGGCAATCCCTGAACCTGGGGCCTCGAGCCAGCAGCGTCATCTGCAGCGTGGCTCAGCATGGGCGCTGCTACACGCGGCACCTGGGAGATCCCGTTTGGATAATTAGTTTGCTAACAGGTGCTCAGCTCACCTATATCTGGCTGCTAAAGGAGCCTAGGTACTCATGAATATGCAGTTACACAAAGTAATCAACGGGCTTCCCATGCTCTCTAAACTCAATGTCTAAGGGCCAAAATCCAAGTTTTTTTTCTTTTCTTCTTCTTCTTATTTAGTTTTTTTTTTTTTTTTTTTTTTTTTTTTAAGGTAGGAGAGACAGCAGTGAGCAAAATGGCCAGGAGTCACAACAGCAGGAATTTTACCTGTTCAGCACCCGGGACAGCGCCTCAATAGTTAATTGGTTGGGCAAGGGCATCAATGAATGAACCCAGTCTCAGTCTCACTGAGCTGGGCGGGGCAGGGGGTGTGGGGACCGATGCTACAGTAAGTGATTGATATTAATAAAGTTACAAAGCACATCTGGGCAAGGAACCCTTGGGGGAGAGGTCGCTGGGGAGCCGGGACCTCGGCAGGGAGGCCGGGCAGGTTCTCCCAGCAAGTGGGTCCTCCTGGGGCTGAGCTGGGATACCTCAAAGCATCTTGAGACCAGGCTCCAAAGGAGGTGTCCAACGAGCCAGCCCTCCCCTTGCCTCCCTGTCTCCCGCTGTACCTTGCAGCCGGTGGGGGCCCTGGTAGAAGTCCCCCCGAGGGGCCTCTCCCTGCAGAATGTCCATTGGTCCCCAGGGGCTGCCGCAGTCAGACCCCTGCAGCCACTCCTCCATCAGGGTCAGCCTGGCCTTCAGCTTGGCAGCCTGGAGGGGACAGGGAAGGAAATACTGCTCGGATACCTCCCCCTGGCTTTTGCCTGGCCTGCCCTCTCTGGAGCTCCCTGGGCTTCACAGTTAAGGACACCCTAGACCTCTGAGAACCAGCCCTGCCCACCCCCAACCACTGGCTCATAGTTGCCCCTTCCCTTCCCCCACCCACTGGCACCTGCAGGCATTCAGTGGACCACACCTCTGTCCTGCTGGTGGAGGGGTGAGGGGAGGGGACGCCCAGGAGGACTTCTGCCTGTCCTGCTGCATGCCCGCCCAGAACTTGGCACAAAGCAGGTGCGCGGGGGAATTGCTGGCTGAGCCACGTCCCCCTGCACTGTTGTTTGAACCACGCAGTCACCGCATTCACAGAGCACTTGCTGGGAGCGGCTGCCAGCCACGCACCAGCTCCTGTTCACCTTGCAACTATCCTGAGGGGCAGGGGCGATAGGGCCCCAGCAAAGTGCTCTGGAAAACCACAAGGCCTTCCATTCTTACTGGATGGCAAAATCAGGTTTCAGTAACTGTGAACTCATTTGGAAGCAACATTGTTCCAAACGAGGCTGCTTCTCCTGCACATGGAGAACTGACCCAGATGCTGCTGTTGGGGCTGGGGGGTACTGAATGCTGGGCTTACGCCCTCTTATCTTTCCACGGTGCCATCATTCCAAAAGCTGCCCACACAGGTTTCGGGTGAGGCGGTGCAGTCCTAAACTAGCTCCATGTGGAGGAGGAGAGACACGCTGAAGCTAGGCTGTCCCCCGCCTGGGCGCATGCCAACTCAGAAGGCTGGGGGAGGGGCAGCCCAGAGCTCACACGCCTGACCCCTGCACCACACCATCTCCCTGCTCAGATTCTACTCGTGCCCCAGAATGGGCGTCACCCTCCACCTGAACCTCCCCACAACGGGCCGTCTGTGGTCTCATCCCCGTTGAACTTGAGAATGCAGGAGCCCTCGGCATGGGTGGTTGGTAAGGAAACGGGTCAAGTGCTCCTGTCCACTGAGGAGTCAGGGAAGGGCAGAGGTGAGGGTTGACCCAGGTTGGCGTGGGCCAGGAGGCTGCATGGGCCCAGGGAGGAGGCAGCTGGTGGTCCTGGAAAGCCCGAGGACTGTGGATGAATGGGCAGTTCCTGGTGCCCGGCACAGGGCCAGTGCTCGCTGGGGATGCACCACAGGTGCCGCGGGCCTGGGCGGGGCCTGGGCTGTGGGCGGGGCTCACCTCCTCTTTCACCAGGCTGTAGCAGGTCGGGCACTCCTGGCACTGCGCACCATTGGCCGTGAGGAAGAAGTTGTCCTGGCAGCGGTCACACTTGTAGCCCACGAAGCCGGGCCTGCACACGCATGTGCTGTTCTCGTGGCACTGGGCCGAGGCAGAGCCCAGAGGGGAGCACCTGCAGGCTGGGGGGGAGGCCGGAGCAGATGGTGCTCGCTGCCCTGATGATCCCCCAACCCCAGGTTCCCCCGCAGCCTCACACCCGGCTGCCCAGGAGCCCCTGGGCAGCTCAAATACATACGTTCTGAGTCCTTCCTGGGACAGTGATTCAGGGGTCAGAGGACGCTGACTTACTCAGAGTCCCCAGGATCTGAGTGACTAGCACGCGATTCAACGGCACACATGAGGAAACTGAGGCCCAGGGAGGTGATGCATGGCCCAGGCACAAGGGAATTTGGTGGTGGCATCTGAGACTCGATTCTTGGCCCCACGGACCCCCCCGCCCCCCCCCGCCCCGCTCACTCCACATCTGCCTGGCTGCTCTGAGAGGTGGCGGCTGACCTCTCTCTCTCTCCCCCACTCGTCCTCTTGGCCGGAAGCCTCAGGCTACGCCCCCCAGGGAGGCCAGGAAGGGCCTGGCTTCCTTACCCCGGCAGCCCTTGACGGAAAAGCCGAAGAAACCCAGCTGGCATCTGTCGCAGGCCCGGCCCTCGACGCCTGGGCGGCAGGGGCACTGCCCAGTCTTGGGGTGGCACCGGTTCTCCTGGGAGCCCAGTGGGTGGCACTCACAGCTGTGACAAGGGGAGGACATGGGTCTGAGGGCGCTCTGGGCCGCTCCCAGCCCAGCCGCCACGGCAGCAGCTGGCGAGGGGCCTGCGATCACGCGCTCTGCTGAGAAGGCCCCATCTCCACGACAGTCCCTGTCACACAGCTTCCCCTCAGCTGTGCCCTGGGAAGCAGTCCCAGGAAATGCCCTGCCCCCCAAAAAAGAATGGTTATGGGGACATGCACCTCCTGGAGACTATACCCCTGCATGAGAAAGTCACAGTGCAATTAGCATATGGAAGGCTCTGAGAAGTCAGGCGAGGAAGAAATGTTTGCTTCACCGGGCATTCCCTGGAGTCCACTGTGCCCCACAGACACTGTCTAAGTTGCTCTTGAGGCCAGAAAGGTCACTGCATGGCAGCGGCACTGAGAAGGGAATCGGAGACCGAACCGGCCCCCTGCCCACCTGGACCTCCCTTAGGGCCGCTCTTGGCCCACTTCCTGGGCTGGCAGGGCCACCCGTCTGGCCCCCATGGGACTGTCCCTTTGTCCCCCTTCAGCGTAGGACACCGTGTACCTGGCAACGGGCCTGGGACGCCCATTCCACACCAGGCCCCTCTCTGGAGGCTCCCTGGTGCTTCCTTCCATCTTGGGGAGACCCTGGGGGAAGAGCGCCCGCCGCCTCACCCCACCCACCTCCGGCAGCCCTTCCCGGGCCGGAGATCGTAGAAGCCTGGGCTGCAGCGGCCGCAGTCCCGTCCGGTCACGTGAGGCAGGCAGGCGCACTGGCCGGTCACTGGGTCGCAGGGCCTCTGCTCACTGACGGAGCCCTCGGGGTTGCAGCCGCAGGCTGGGGTGGGAACAGGAAAGGACTTGGGAAACCTTCCGTTTGGGCTTTTGGGGGCCCAGGAGATGCAGAGAAGAAGGGCAGCCCACGGGGCCGACGCACGGCCAGCCCGGGCTCCCAGGCTGCTTCTGAGAGAAGGCTTGAGGGCCAGGCTGGCGTCTCTGGGGTACTTGCTACCTCCTCCGAGGGACAGCCTGCGGCCCCGCCGGGCCTGCCCAGAGCCCCTGCAGCTGGAGAGAACGCCAGAGACGCAGTCGGGGTCACAGGCAGGCGGCCCCCTCAAGCCACTCTTTTGGGGCACTCAACCCTGCTCTCCTGGGCCCTGTAAAACAAGCGCTACGCAGAGAAAGGGCTCAGGGGCAAGTTGGGGCAAATGCCGAGCTCCTCCCACCAGCACCGATGGAGGCTTCCACAGGCTGACGCACTGCGGCCCTCTGAGCGGGGGCACTGGGCTGCGTGGTAACCCAGGTGGAGAGGGGAGGAAGAACACCTCAGCCCGGGGCACCGCGGAGCTGGAAGCCCGGGCGTAGGAGGAATGGGACAAGCGCCCCAGGCCGTGGGGTCAGTTTTCTTTGCTAACTGCAGAGCGCAGGTTGAACGTTGAATTATCGAGACAGGAAACACCACCCCGGCTGGGGGAGGCCTTGGAGGGGAGAAAACCCTTAGGCGTCCTGGCCACGAGACAGAGAAGGCGAGGGAGCGGCCACGTCGCCAGCCTCCCGGAGCGCGGGCGGGGCGGGCGTGTACTCACCCACGCACTTGTCTGCGGCGCGGGCGGCCAGGGCGCTGCCGTAGAAGCCCCTCTGGCAGCGCTCGCAGTGCGGGCCTGTTGTGTTGTACAGGCAGCGCAGGCAGTGGCCAGACAGGGGGTCGCAGTTGCCCACGGCGTTGGGGTCCACGTTCCCGCTGCACTGGCACCGCTGGCAGGGCTGGGGGTCCCCAGAGAGCCCCAGCGGGTCCCCAAAGAAGCCATCATCACAGATCTCACAGCGCCGCCCTAAGGGAAGGCAAAGACTCGGAGTGCAGGAGCAGGCATGGGGGGCGCCCCCCGCCCCAGGCCAGTCTGTGGGGGGCGAGGGCGGGCGGAGCCACAGCCAGCGCCCCGTCTCCTTGCGGAGCCCAACGCAGACCCAGGGCGGGGCCCGCTCGCCCACCGCGGGCTCTCGGTCTCGGGCGAGTCCCTGTGCCTCTCTGAACCCGGGCTCCTCATCGGCCCAGCGGGGCAGGGCTACCGAGAGGGGCTGGTGAGGAAACCTGCGCAAAGCACCTAGCACAGTGCCTGGCGCGTGGCAAACGCTCGACAGTAGTGGCTGTCATCACCTCTCCCTCATCACCCACGTCATCGTCGCCCTTCTCTTCAGCAGCACCCTGGTCGTCGCCTTCCCCACCATTGTCCGCTGTCCCTTTCGTCAGTAGCGTCAGCATCATCACCCACGGACTTCGTCATTATCATGATCGGCACCACCTTCCGCAGCGGCATCGTCTTCATCGCCGTCTTGTCACCTTCCTCAGCATCTTCATCGTCATCTTGTCACCTTCCTCAGCATCTTCATCGCCATCTTGTCACCTTCCGCAGCGGCATCGTCTTCATCGCCATCTTGTCACCTTCCTCAGCATCTTCATCGCCATCTTGTCACCTTCCACAGCGGCATCGCCTTCATCGCCATCTTGACCATCACGTCATTGTGACCATTTTCACCTCAATCATTACCTTTGCCATCGTTATCATCTATCGTCTTCATCATCATCACCCTCTTGATCATCATCTTCATCACCATCTTGACCATCACTCTCTGCGCCACCTTCAAGGTCACTGTCATCCTCCTCCTTGTCACCCCCCCCCAGCTCCCCTTCTTAGCTGCGGCTACTTCCTCATTGGAGGATCTTGGTCCCTTTTCCTGTTCTGCTTCTCACGCTTCCTGAACTAACGTTGGGCTGTTTATTCGGAAATAAGCAGTGGCTGCCTCATCTCCCCGCCCTCAGGGTCACGGTGAGTCTCAGGAAAGGTGGCGTGTGAGGGGGCTTTTGGTGGGTTGTGACCTGGGAGGTCTACTCTGGACACAGGCGGGACATGAGAGAACATATGTGTACCATGTGCTTCATGCAGTGTCAGCCTGTTCTTGGGAAGCACACCCATCTCACGTATGTCTGCATGAGACAGATGACTAGAGCAACCCATGGACCTGAACAGTCGCCACGGTCCCCTGGGGATAGCGGGGGGACAGGCACGCTGGCTCCCTGCTCGCAGGCACGCTGTGTTCCTCTCCCCACTTCTCTGGGCGGTTTCAATGGTTACGATGAGTATTACTCATTTTACAATTTAATTAATAGCCACTGTCATTGCAAAAGGGAGCTGCAGCTCTGTGTCCCCAAAGCTCATCGTTCAGTTGAAATCAAGTTAATGTTACGACAGGCAGGCAACCTTGAAAATGGAGAGGAGGAACACCAAGAAAGAAGAGAGAAAAGGCCAGACGAAAAGATGGGACGAGGAAAGTCTGAACAGAGCTCAGGGTGGGGACTGGCGCCGGGCTCTGCGGCCCTGAAGCAGACACAACGTCAGGCGGGCAGGAGAGGCAGCGGCCGGGGACAGAGGCTGAGGCCACAGTTCACCGGCCACTCGCTCGGAGCAGGCAAGGACGGCTGCCAGGGCCGGAGGCAGCTGCGAGGTCCCGGGAAGGGCTGCTGAGTGGCGGGTGGTAGGGAGGTGCACCGGCAGGGGTCAGAACCAGACCCTGGCCAGTCCCAACTCGGATCGTCCAGGTGAGCTCTTCGCGAGCTAGGCTCTCGTCAGGGCCCAAGGACACTGGTGTAATAAAGACAAGGGACAGCCCGAGGCCCCGGACCTTATGTCCACCCAGGCACCCCTCCCAGGTGGCCTGCTTGCCCCAATTCCCCCTCAGAGCATCTCCGCCTGGGTCCGCTGACCTTCCCTACCTGCCCACGGGCTCACTGAGCGGGTGGGCTCCCGTCGTGTCTGCAGACGAGCCGAAGCCACGGCCGGGGGCCAGGGAATGCGGGGAGGGTTGCAGGAAGGGAAGGCAGGATGGCGGCAGGGCGGGGTGCAGGCCCTGAGCTGGGAGCTCGCTCCAGCAGCTCTTGCGACCCCCACCCTGGGGCCTCCCCACAGCCCTGCTGCCGCCAGTCAGGAAGCTGCTGTCAGGGCGGTGACATTTGATGGGACCGGCAGGCTGTCCGGATGCAGCCACAGGTACCAAACTCGGGCTCAGAGGCCCGGGGACCCTGGAAACACTACGCCAAGTGAAACGTGCCAGCCACAGAGGACAAATACTATATGACTTCGCCGGTAGGAAGCGCTTGGACTAGTCAAATTCTTGGAGGCAGAAAGTAGAAGGGTGGGGCCAGAGGCCGGGGGAGGCAGAATGGGGACCTAGTGTTTAGTGGGGAAAGTTTCAGCTGCAAGGCTGAAGGAGCCCTGTGGGAGCACAGAGCGTCGCACGGCTATAGGAAGGCACTTAATGCCACTGAACTGTACACCTAAAAATGGTTAATCGGGCAAATTTCAGGTCATATGTTTTGCCATAATCACAAAAATCAATAACAGAATATACCAAAAAAAAAAAAAAAAAAACTACTGAATTGTACACTTCAAATAAATGAATCATATCTCAATAAAACTGTTAAAAAAAATCAGATGTCTGGGACGGGCCCGGGTCCTGGGGCGGGAGTGAGGACCGCAGAGAGCCGGGCGCGGGGGGTTTCGGCCTCACACACTGCCTGCTGGCATTGCTTAACCGCTGACAGTTTACTCGGGTTTTCTGCCTAACGCCTCCGCCAGGGGACTGGGAAATACAGGCTCCTGAGCTCCATCCCAAGCTTCCAAGCCCAGCTCCGTGGGGCCAGGGCCCAGACGGGCAGATTTTCAAAATCTCACCTGAGACGCCCAACGGCCCAGATTCTGCCAGGAGCCCATGGCAGCCCGGGGCCCTGGCTCTGGGACTGTGGGACTCAGGGTCCCCAGAAGTCAGGCTTGTCACCCCTAAGCCGGCCCTCCCTCCTCTGCCACGGTCCAAACCCAGGACCCCACTCCCGGAGCCTGGACAGAGGCAGGCGCCTTGGGCACAAGCCACTCACCTCGCTGGCCCGGGGGGCAGTGGGTACACACCACCTCCCCGCTGTCTGGGAGGGTCGCACAGGACGACTGTCCAGGGCATGGACAAGGCTGGCAGTCGTCGGGGCGGCCCACGAAGGGGTTGCCATAGAAACCTGGCAGGCAGCGTTCACAGGACGGACCCTCGGTGTGGTGGCTGCAGATGCAGATCCCTGAGGGGTAAGACAGGCACCTGTTTACCACCGCCTGGGCCCAGAACACTCCAGAAACCGCAGCGGGCTCCTGGCAGCGGGCGGGGGGCACAGGGCATAACCCGGCAGCACGAGCGGGAGCCGCTCCAAGGTGGAAGCGGCACGGACCGGAGCCGGAGAGCCCACCGTGGGCTCATGTCCACCGTGTGAACGTGGGCAAGGCGCCTAACGCCCCGCACCTCGGTGCCTCGCCCGCGAAACGGTACCCAGCCTCACAGGGCTCTGACCCCACAGAGCCCTGCACGTCCCGCAGGGGGAACTGCGATGGCTGTTACCATCCTTGTTTTCTATTCCAAACCCTAGAACCACACCAACAGAAGGCACCACTAACGCTTCCTCGCAGCCTTCCTCCTCTGTGTCCTGCTGACGCCAGGGGCCCCAAGGGACAGTGACGCAGGCCCGGGGCTCTGGTTGTGACCTGAGGTTCCGTTTATGGGGCCTGTGGGCTCTCCGAGGCTCCTAGGGATGGGGGGCTCTGTGAACCCCTTTCTCCCGCCCCACGGTACCTGGACTCTGCACAGAGTGGGGGACACTGGGGACGGGAGGCCCCCCAGGGATGGGGTGAGGAGCCTGTTTGGCAAGACCGCCCCTTGCAGAAGCTGGGGCCCAGGTGAACAGGGGAAGCGAGGGGACTGGGCAGCGGTAGGGGGTACGTATTGGGGAGCACGACGACAGCAGGGTGGCGTCCCAGGGGCGCTATCACGCCGGCTCCGCTGTCCCCCAGCCCCTGCCTTGGCCTAGCACCCACGTGCTCATTGCTCCCCGCTCCGTCCACGATGGGGACCGGCAGCCGGCCTGCCCCCTGGACAGAGGAGGGCTTACTGAGCGGGAAGTCGAGGCACGGCCGGGGCTCTGAGGTGACACATGGGTCCCATCTCGGGGGCCAGCGCTGCTTCCTCAGTAGGGGCTGCCTGGAGCATCGCCCGGAAGGCCGCAGGGGCCCATCTGGGCTCGACCGGCGATGCCTGCCACGGGCACCGCGGAGGAGGCTCTTGTGCCGTGTCTCCCGGTCCTCCCGGGCCAGCCCGCCGGTTCCCAGGCCACTGTCCTTGGCCAGCTCCACAAGGAACCTGAGGAGAGCCGAGCAGGCACCTCCCTTCCCAGAGATGCCAGCTGCTCCAGGAGAACAGTGGGGCTCCCCCGCCAGCACCTCCTGCCCCTGACCTCGGGGAGGCCTTTCCGGTTTGCTCTAGAGTCAGCGGGGATGACCCGCAGGTGCCGAGCTTGTCGGAGGAGCAGCCCTGCCACCTGCCAGCCGCGGGGCTTCCCTGGGCTTTCAGCCCTTCACCTGGAAGGCGGGACAGTCAGTAATGATTTGTGCAGGATTCAGTGATGTTGTCGATAACTATGCCTAATTAGTATTGTTTTTAGTGTCCACAGCCGGCCCTGTGCTGGGCGAGCCAGGAGGCCTCACGGGCAGGGGGGGGGTGCTAGGAGACCCACCTGTGTTAGGGTCACAGGTGCCGTGCTGATTACAGGTGCAGGGGACGCAGCTGGCGTAGGGACCCCCCAGGGGAGTCTCCCTCTTATATCCTGGAGCACAGGATTCACAGAACTGGCCCACGTAGCCCTTGGGGCACGAGCACGTCTCCACCCAGAGGGCGGGAGGGGAGAGCCCCCGCTGGGCCGACGCGAGCCGGACCGCCGTCAGGAACACTTGGCCTGGGAGCGAGGAGAGAGGGCGAGAGAAAGGAAGAGAGTTGCGCTCACACGGTTCTCCCCCACACCCTTCTCCTCCCACAGGGGACAGGCCAGAGGTTCCCGGCCCACGGCGGCAGGGGCGGCCCACGGGCCAGTCACCGTTTCTAAAAACAGCCAAATAAAAAACAAAGGAAAATTAGGCAATTTTCAGAACAAGAAACAGATATAGCTGGAAATGTTATGGAAAGATGTTCATCCTCAGGGGTTATGAAAAATATGCACATTTAAACAACGATGACACTGTTCACAACCCTCCGATGGGTGAGCACTTTAAAAATCAACGCAGTGGCAAACGGCCGTGGGGAACTCACGCACGTGGGTGGGTGTGTGGCCCTAACTCAGGAGGTCCTGCTTCCAGCACGAGAGTAGCTCCAATCGGACCAAACTTCCTACAGAAAACAACTTAAAACTCTGGGCAAATATAAAAACCAACGGCCCGTAAACATGGGAGAACCCCACAGCAGGCGGAGAGCACAGGACGCTTGTCATCAGAGCACGGGCTGGCCCAGCCTTTCTGATGGGGAATTTGGCCGCATGCAGCAACATTTAAAACGTGCACCCTCAGACCTAACGTCTCCACCTGCAGGCTCTGTCCTGCAGACACACTGCGCAAGAGCCCAGGGCCCTGCCCACGAAGCTCTTCCCTGATCCTGCGGCCCCATGTGCGGTGGCTGAAAACCAGAAACCACTCCTCGCCTACAAACAGGGGGCTGGTTAAAGCTTCATGGAGCATCTACACAGTGGAATGAATGGTCCACGGTGCACACAGACAGACAGGCTTTTCCACGTGTAATGATAAATGTCCACTTCCAAGACAGAGTCAGCTGAAAAAAGCAAGTTGCAAAATACTGTACTGTGTGACCATATTTCTACATTTAAAAAAATAGAGATGGGCTGGGCTCGTGTGGCTCAGTGGATTGAGTGCCGACCCGCGAACCAAAGGGTCGCTGGTTCAATTCCCAGTCAGAGCACATGCCTGGATTGCAGTCTAAGTCCCCAGGAGGGGGTGCGCGAGAGGCAACCACACACTGATGCTTCTCTCCCTCTCTTTCTCCCTTCCTTCCCCTTTATCTAAAAATAAATAAATAAAATCTTTTGGAAAAAATAGAGATGTAAGTCACACACACAGAAAGGTCTGCGGAGATGTGCCCCCAAATGTAATCAGTGGGAAGAGGAAGTATGGGGGTGGGGTGAGATGGAGGGTCAGCGTGTGCCTGCCTTTCCAGCTCGGCCTGGCACAGGCAGGTGCCCTGTAACCACCTGGTAACTGAAGGCTGAGGGAATGACAGGGAGGTGCTGGAAGCTGCTGGAAAGGGTGAGAATGACGATCAGCTAGAGGGCCTTGGCATGGCCTGGGGAGCTGGGCGGCTACGGAGCGCAGTGGGGGTGAAGGCAATTCAACCACAGCTGCAGAGAGAAGGAAGCAGAACAGGCTGGGCTGCACCCCGCAAGCCTCGGACTTGAAGAGGCCGCAGGCAAGGCTGGCCACCGAAGCCAGAGGCTCTCCAAAGGAGCCAGTCGGCCCCTAGGAGCAAATCTGGGGGCGATTTTGTCATAGCAATGGCTCCTCGCAATGGTGACTCTTCCACCACATGATGGCAGAGGCAGGGATGCTGCACTGGCCACACACCTGTCCCTTAGAGCTGCCCATCCTCAGGCTGTCGCTTGTGCCGCCCCTGCCTCTGTCCTCAGCATCCACCGCTGCCCTACTGGCAACAGGGCCTTGGGCAAGTGTCTCGACCTCAGATTTCTTCATGGTACAATGGGGACAATGACCATCTGCCGTGAGGACTCAACAAAGGAGCCCGGGCCCAGCTGCTTCTGGGGGGTATCACTGACCGGAGGGGCTTGGGCTGGTCCAGATGCGCAGAGCGGTCAGATTGGCGAGCAGCCGCTGGAAGTGGAAAGGGGGCAGCGGGGGGTCCACGTCCTCAGAGGTCTCCTGCAGCCTGGCGGGGGAGGGGGTCAGACCAGAACCTGAGGTGGGGGCAGGGCAGACCGAGGGCGACCCCAGTGCGCCTGGACCGCAGGGCCCCCGACCGCCCGGCCCCACCTCTCCGGACAGAGCAGGACACTCACTGGAACTCAAGCTGCACCTCCCCGGGCTGCCCGGTGTCCTGGGGGCCCGACAGGCTGGAGTAGCGCAGAGTCAGGGCCAGGCCCGCCCCTTCCAGCCTCAGCTGCACCGGGAGCGGGGAGCCCCCCGGGGGGACCCAGAAGGTCAGTGTGAGGGGTTGCCCGTAGCTGAACCGCTGGTCACCCAGGAACTTCTCTGAAGACAAGAGAAGAGGGCTTTGACAGTCTGCCCTTAATTAGCCTGATTTTAAGTATCTATGTTGATTTTATTATTAGTGAAACATCCACACAAGAGAAAACAACGGCAAATAGGAAACCAGAGGCTCTGGGTGCAGCAGGGGCTCGGGGTGGTTCCCCAACGCCCCACGGTCACATGCCCGGTTTCATGCCCTGCTGTCACCGTCTTGACATCTTTCACGTTTTTAGGTCTGAACTTGGGCCTTGTAGGTGCGGTCCGACGGGACAGCGGCGTCTGTGGGGGAGCAGAGGGGACCCGGCCCACAGGGCGGAGGCGCCTGGCCGCCCGCTCACGGGCGGCGTCCACGTGGCCCCACATGCATCCGAGCGCAGGGGGATTCCACGTGAGGACAAGGGCGGCGGCCATCGTGGGACCGAGCAGGGGCGCTGACGGCCCCCAGAGGCCACGCTTTCCGGCACAGTCAGAACTGCTTCCAGCAGGCGGGAGGCAGCGGCGTCCCGGGAAACACCGCGGACGGGAGCCCTGTTGCCACCTTTCTCCCTCGGGCTGGTTCTCTGGATGAGCTGACGCTGGAATTCATGACATGGAAGGAAAGGGGACGGGGGTTCCTCGTCCTCTCTGTCCTCGGGGACTCGTGAGAACTGGTGGCAGAGCGCGCGGCTGGACTGCGTGAGTAAAAGCAGCGAGTCTGTCCACCGGCCTTGCGCCCAGCCCCAGCGGAGAGCCAGCGAACCCTTCCTGAGTGAATAATTCCTTTTTCTTAAGTGTGGCGACAAAGCAGCCAGGGAATAGAGCATGTTTTCTGCCCGTGGGCTGCTGAGCTTGGAGCGCCTGGCCCACAAGGGGCCCGAGGGCCCGCGTCCTTTGCTTTCCGGCAGCAGGGCCCTCGCGTGGCGTGTCCATGGCGGCCACACAGCTCCGCAGTCTGTCATCTCTGGCTCCTCTCAGCGAGGGAGGGAACGGCCAGGACTGGGTTGGGGAGCCAGGGGACCCTGAATCTGGCCACAGGAGACTTAGGACTCCTGGTTTCTAGGAGACCAAAGTGGCCCTAATTAATGGGGGTGGGGTGCAGAATAATCTAGTATTTTCTGCTTGTGCAGGAATCCCGCGGCCCTGGGCGTGGGGTCCAGTGCCTGGCAAGGTGAGGGGCTGACGGGAAGTGCACAGGGATTGTCTGGGGTACGACCGTGGTCTGAGCAAGCCCTGGGTGGCAGTGCTGTGGCCAGGAAGCAGGGGGCCCAGCAGACGCCACGGGGCACGTGGTTGGCAGAAAAAAGGCCCCCAAGGGTGTCCCACGTTCTGATCCCCAACACTTGGGAATATGTCATTACGGTTGCAGGTGGAAAGCAGGCCCTCAAAGTAAAGAGGTGAATATGGATTATCCAGCTGGGCCCAGCGTGGTCACAAGGGTCCTTAAAAGGTGGAAAAGGGAGGCAGAAGGGCTGGCGTCACAGTGATGACAAACGAGAGAGCCGACCGGTTCTGAAGCCAAAGGCGGGGCCAGGAGCCAAGGGACCCAGCGGCCTCCAGGGGCGGGGAAAGGCCGGGGCCTGGTTCTCTGCTAGGGCCTCCGGGGAGCGCAGCTCTGCCCACGCCTTGATGTGAGCCCAGTGAGGCCTGTTTCAGACGCCGACCTCCAAACCCAGAGAGGACAAACGGGCGTGGTGTGCAGCCCCCGAGTGGGTGGCCATGGGTCAGGGCAGCGAGAGGAAACACACAGGAGACAGTCCCGTCCTGCCTGGGGCCGGAGGTACCTGGTGCCGCGAGCTCCACCTCGTCTCCTGGGTCCAGGCGGAGCCCCCTGGGGCTCCACCGCACGGGATGCTCTGCGCCGTCTGTGCTGCTGGCCTGCCAGCCACCTGCTCCTGCAAACACACACACACAGGTCCCTGGGAGGCCCCAGAGGGTGGCCTCGGCCCTATCCAATGTCACACCTCTCCCTGGGACCAAGGGATGGTGCCCAGAGGCCTGAGCACAGCCTGAGACAACGGGCCCCAGGGAAGCAAGAGACGGTGCCAGAGGCAGGCCACCCAGGGCGGGAGCCAGCCAGTGCCCACAGCCGGCCAGCCCAGGTCCCCATCCCAGAGCCAGGGAGGGGTTCTGGGGTGGGAAACAGCCCAGGAGGAGCTAGACAGCTCAGGGACCTGGCTCTGTCTGGGGCAGGGGCAGACCTCTGGGCCTGCGCTGGCCGCCAGCGGGATTTGAGCACAACGTGAAGACACGGCCAGAGACCCCCAACGTGGGGCGTCAGGACATCAGGGCTGTTTTTAACAATCCGAGACTTCGGAGAACTTCCTCTCCGGCAGCCTCACCACCCCCGTCCTTCTAAGGACATGTCATCAGCCTCACTGCACCCAGGGAGGCTGCCTGGCGGGCAGCGGTCAGGCCAGGATGGGAACGCAGGCGCTCTGGTCCCCAGCCCCAGTTCAGTCCACACTCGCTCTGGTGATGGCAGTCTAGCCACCCACCGAGCACCGTCTAGCACAGAGCAAGGGACCGCAAGGCAGGGACGGCGCGGGGGATAGGCGGGAGGCCCAACACCTGGGGTGCCGAGGGGTGAAGAAGGAGGGCCTACGGGACAGAGGTCGGAAAGGGGACGCCCAGGGCTCTTTGGCGCCAGACCAGGCTCTGCCCCTCCCTGGCCGTGTGACCCCGGGCAAGCTACTTAACCTCTCTGAAGCGGTGCCTCACCTGCAAATGGGGGGCAACGGAATACTTACGGTCCTGGAAGCAACTCTCAAAGTTTGCCTGACCACTCTGCGGGATCCCTGAGACCCTCTGAGGGGGTCCATGAGCTCAAACTGTCTTCTTAATAACACTAAGATGTTATTTGTGTTTTTCATTCTCTTTCACACAAGCAAAGTGGGATTTGCCAGGAGCTACAACACGTGTGATATCCCAGCAGACAAGACGGCAGGAGCGCGGGGGGAATCAGCTCACCTCTACTAAGCTAGACCCCGAGGAGATGTGCAGAACAGTAGACCAAGTAGCACACTTCTCACAGGATTGTTGGGGTTTTTTTTTGTTTTTTTTTTTTGTTTTTGTCCTTTAGAAAGTTCCTTCTCACAGGTGGATGTTATTTTTTATTATAAGTTTACTATAATTGTTTTAATGCATAGCTCTTTTGAAATTACTGTGTTAATTTCTAATACAGAAAATACCCACATAAACAACTCACATCAATAAAAGCACTTGGGAGGCCTCCGTAATTTTCGACAGGGTAAAGGGATTGGGAGACCAAAAAAGTTGGAGAACTTCTGTCCGAGGGTGATTGAGAGATAACGTGAGACGAACCCAGGGTCTCGCTCAAAGCAAGGACAGACAACGCTGGCGCCCTTGCGATTTATAAAAACGAGTCCCGCCTGACGTTAACAGCCTAGACTCCTGCGCTAGGTGACCACAATCAGGTCCCGGTTCCAAGCTCCTCCCCGTCCTGCCTTCTGCGCGGCGTCCAGCAGAGGGCGCACTGCCCCATGTCTGGGCGCCCCAAGCCAGGGCCTGAATTTCTCTTCCTGGCTGACACTCCCATCGCCCTGGGCGAGACGTGGGCGGAGGTGGGGGGGTGGGGCGCCCCGTGGGGCACGGCAGGGGTCCACGCAGGCTGGGATTTAATACAGAGCGCAGAGCCCCACCACTTTCCTACTCCAAAGATGCACTTGTACCCTCTGGAGTTGGGGACCTGGGCACCACGGCACCCCTGGACCCTGGGCCCAGAGAGAAAACCTGCACAGCGGTTAAAAGCAAAACTCGGACATTGACAAACCCTGGTGCCACCAACTGAGTTACGTGACTGACCTTTTCTGGGCCTCAGGTGCCTCGCCTATAAAATGGGAATGAGAGCATCTTCCAGCCGGGGACTGCGTGAGGCCCCCCTGAACATAAAGAGCCCAGTGCCAGGCATACAGCAGGTGCTTGATAAACGGAGGCCAGCAGATGGAGCCTAAGTCCCCGGCACTAGGATACACCAAGGGAGGGCAGTCTTGACCTTGAGCGACTGGAAATTCCCACATGGGATCCAAAGGCTACCCTATACCCAGCCCCCCACCAGCTGGCCCCCAAGTACAGTATAAAGGCTGCTGGAGGCAAGGAAACGGCAGGGCCACAGGGAGCTGAGCGGTGCAGGGAGGTTCTGGGCGCGCTGGTGGGTACAGGGGGTCACATGCTGCAAGGCTGGCCCTGTGGGCCTGTGGGAGGCGTCTGGGCTGAGGAGGCGGCCCCTCTTTTCCTCCCCACCCCCCCAACCACTGTCGGACCGCCCAGAGCAGGATGGCTGCCCGACCTGGGCTGGGAGAGACCCCTCGGAGGTGGCTGCGGAGCTCGTCTTACCCTGGCGGAAGTCGGAGCGGATGTGGTGCACCCGGAAGCCAGCAGCGGCCGTACACACCTTGGAGTGGCCATAGCAGAAGCAGCTGCTGCAGCCGGCCGGGTTGCGGGGCTGCAGGTTAAAGGTCCCTGGGCGGCATCTGAAACGGAAGCAGGACACACCCAGGGGGCCCAGTGAATTGGCTAGGCTCAGGGGGCCCCGCGGGCCTGCTGCAGTCCAGAATCACTGGGGGAATGGAAAAAAAAAAATGTTCCCCCAGGTTTACAGGAAAGTTGCAAAGCTGGTACAGAGTCCCATAGCCTCTTCACGCAGCTTTCCCTCGTGTTAACACCTGACATTGACCACAACTAAGAAATTCACATTGGTTCACGTTATATACTCAACTCCTGGCTTTATTAGGATCTCCCCCCTTACCCCACGGATGTCTGTTTTGCTCCAGCATTCCATCCAGGACACGGCATTGCCTTAAATCCTGTCCTTAATCTCCCCTGATCCATAACAGCGTCTCAGTCCCTCCTGACCTTGACACTTTTGAAGAGTACTGGTCTGGCATACTTTGTCAAATGCTCCTCAATGTGGGTTTCTCTGATGTTTTTTCACAACTAGATGCAGGCGATGGGTTTGGGAAAGAAATGGAGGTGAAGTGGACTTCTCGTCCCAACACATCGGAGCAAATGACCCCCATGTGGTGTCACTGGTCATGTTAACCTTGACCACTTGGTTAAGGTGCTGCCTGCCAGCTCGCCCCACTGCAAACCTATCATACTCCAGCCATTAGAAGCAAGTCACTAAATCCAGCCCGCAGTGCAGTCAAGTGGAATTCAGCTCCACCTCCTGGGGGAGGGGGGCGGTGAATACAAAATTGTGGACAATGCTGAAACCCCCACAGTAATTGAGATATAGATATATATATATATATATTTAAGATTTTATTTATTTATTTTTAGAGAGGGGAAGGAAGGGAGGAGAGGGAGAGAAACATCAGCATGTGGTTGCCGCTCACATGCCCTCTACTGGCGACCTGGCCCGCAACCCTGGCATGTGCCCAGAGTAGGAATCGAACCTGCAACACTTTGGTTCCCAGGCTGGCCCTCAATCCACTGAGCCACACCAGCCATGGCTGAGGGAGATATTTGGGTGCAATGGAAATATCCCGTTTCTCCTTAAAGTTCTGCCTACCAATTTCAGCAGTTCTCAGCAGCGCCCGCCACAGCAATGCTACCCTGGAATTCTAACGGTGATTTTATAGTTACCTCACTCCTTCTCTGCTTATAATTTGGAATTCTTCTTGAAGGAAGATTTGTCTCTTTGTCCCCATTTATTTATTTATTCACTCATCTATTTATATCAGTGTGGACTCATGGATATTTATTTTATTCTTTGGGTTGTAATCCACCACTATGGTTATTTATTTTGTTGTTCAAGTTGTTCCAGCTCTGGAAGCTCTTTTAGGCTGGCTCCTGACACAGGTCCCGTCCTGGGTTGGGTTATGTTTGTTTGGTTTTTGTTTTTGTTTTGTTTTTCTTCCCCTGCCCATTTTTTGTTTTTAGTCACTTCCTTGTTTTCTGGCACTACAAGACACTCTGGGTTCGTCCTGCATTCCCCCACCCCAGCCCTAGAACCAGCCGTTTCTCCCAGGAGCCCTGGAGGTGCCTGGTCTGCAGCCTCAGGGGCTCCTCTGGGGCCCCCCAGGTAGAGGAATCTGATTCATAAGAAGCTGCTGATGACTCCATACCCCGCAGGCTCCGAGGAACCCATCTGGCCAGGCTCCCCACTACACAGATGGGCAGACTGAGGCCCAGAGGGAGGACCCGCTCAAGCGCGAGGTGGAGGGGACAAGCCGAAGGAGGACTGGGTGGGTTCCCCAACTCCTGTCTGTCCCCTCACTGGAGGGGTCTTGGGGAGGAAGATGAAACAGGGAGCCCAGTTCCCTCCCCAGGGCCCACAAGCCATGTGTGGACAAGGCGTGGGACAGCCTGAGGCTGGCCGTGGTGAGTCAAAGCCAGGGCCAGCCATGCGGCTTTGGGCCGGCTTCCTCCTGGACCAGCACAGGCTCAGCCTGGACGGCCTGCCCAGAGCAGATGGTTCACAATGTAATGCCGTATTGGGTACTTCATGCAGGGCCCAGGGCCGGAGAGTCAGGGTCCCAGGCAGACTCTGCGGGGGCTGCAAAGGGCTTCCGAGGTCAGAGACGAAGCCGGGAAGAGGACAGCGTGCACCCGAGGAGGGAAACTCACATTTATCAGCCAGCCCCACTGCAGGAGCTCAGAGGCCCCAAACACAGGGAGGGGGAGGAGGACTTTGGAAAGTCCTTCTACCTCAGTCCTTCGCTGAGCTTTAGATGCACCATTTGTACCATGATAGGACAGCAAACAGGCTTGAATCCCAGCTTAGTAGGGCACAGAGAAGGGTTCTGAGGTTACAGCAGGGCTCATGACAAAGACTGTGGTGCCCGTTAGTGCTGCCTGCCCTGGGTGTGAGACGGGAGGGTTGTGGTAGGAGCACCGCGTGTTTGCTGTCCCTGGATTAGACAATCTCACTTGTCCATTCGAGCTACTTCTCTTCAGGATTCTGAGCCAGAAGATGAGATGTGTTTTCAAGGCTTGTGAACGATCAGTGGTGATGGGTCAAAGCATAAACAGTGTAATGGACCCTTCAGACAACGTCCCAGTGGCGGATCACGTGCTCCTGGGAGGGCATCAGGTGCGGGGGCGGCCAAGTCCCCGAGGCCAGTGCCCCCGGCCCCTCCCCCCGCCCCGAGGGCACTGCCAGCAGGCTTATCATCAGATTGGTTCACCGACCTGTCACACAGACCGCCTTCCACATTCTCTTTGCAAGGGCAGCGCCCACTGTGGGGATCACAGGTGTCCAGGCTGCCGGCGGGATGGCAGGTGCAGGGTCTGCCAGAGAAACAGGGCAAGGGGGAAGTGTCCAATGCACAGCTGCAGAATGGGAATAGCCCTCCTCCTTGGCAGGAACCTCTCCACCCCTCCCCACTGCTGAGAGGACCAGGAGACAGACCGACCCAAGCGTCTGCACGGCCCCCCTTTGGCTTCATTGTTCCCACCTTGCCGAGGAAGTGACCCATCCGCTCACGGGAAGCGCGCTCCATCTGTCCACCCACCCACCCATCCATCCATCCGTTTCTGCATCCACTCACTCATCCATCTGTGCCTCCCTCCATCCACCTGTCCATTTATTCATCCATCCATCGGCCCACCCACTCTCCGACTCACTCACCCATCCAAGCGTCTTTCCATCCCACCATCCATCCAGTCTAAACGCCCCGCCCTGTGCCCCGCCCCTCCCCGGGGCGCCCGCACCCTCTGCGCCGCCGCCCTCACCTGCAGCCTCCCTCGCTGAGCGAGTGGAACCCGGGCAGGCAGCGGTCACACTTCCAGCCAGTCACAGTGGCTTTGCAGCGGCAGGTGCCCGAGTCATCGCACTGGAGGCGCAGGGAGCCTGGGGGAGGAAGGGTACAGGGCACAGGGCAGCAGGGGCCGGGACGGGGCGAGGCCTGGGGCCGGGCCACCGGGACCACTCACCTGCCGGGTGGCAGTCGCAGGGCTGGCAGGGCATTGACGGGCTCTGGCGATGGAAGTTCTGCCGGCAGAGCTGGCAGCGCGGCCCGGCCGTGTGGTCGCGGCAGTGGAGGCAGCGCCCGCCGTGGCCCGTGCTGCGGAAGAGCTCCCGGTCGAACACGCACTGCTCAGAGTGGCCGCTGCAGTCGCAAGCTGCGGGCAGGGGGCGGGGCTGTGTGTCAGCGGCCGTGGCCCGTGGTAGGAGCGGCGTCCCTGCCAATCGGCCTCTGTGCTGAATGAGTAGGCAGCTTGAGGAAGGTCAAAGATGGAGTGCAGGCCCAGTTTGATCAAGGATATGGAGACCAATCAATTGATCTTCCAAAACAGGACACCCTTATGAGCAGAGGGGGCGCCACTAATAAATATGCCAAAACAGGACTGTCCCAGACAACCCAGGATGTAGAGTCACCTGGTCACGAATCATAGGCCACCTTCTAGTGAGGCAGTGGGGCTCACTCCAGCACCTCTTGTGGACCCTTGAAGCCATAACTGTGTGATTCTGGTCCCCAGTGATGATGAGGTAACTCAGCATGGAAAATACAAGTCACCCTTCATTCGCTCAGTAATTCATTAAAAAAACCCCTCTCTGCCAGGACTCTGTGGTGAGCCTGGGGCGGGCGGGGCGGGGCGGGCGACCTGGGAACAGGAAGATGGTCCCAGCTCCCGCCTGTGCGCTGCCCACTGCGGGGCAACAGCCAGATGCAGCGAGCCCGTGGAAATCCCACAGGTGGCCTAAAGGAGGGACCCTGCAGCTGTCCTTCGGGGCTGGGACAAGGCTTCCTGGAGGAAGTCACACCGCAGTGGCATCTGGGGGCGGGGGCAGGAAGGAGCTGGCCAGCGAAGGGGTGGAGGGGAGACAGCAGAGTCCCAGGCAGGAGGTGAGAACAGGGGATAAACGGGGAAGCCAGAGAAGCAAGACTTGCGCAGTGTGTGCAGGGAGCGGGCACATCCTGTGATGGGCAGGGGAAGGAACAGGGTCGCTATGAGGTCAAGAGGTTGGCACGGTGTGACCGGGGAGACCAGCAATGGACTTCACCTTGCAGCGAGGGGGGCTGTGGGCGGGTCAGGCAGGGTGAGCCGATCACACGTGCACTTAGAAAGCACCCAGGGCTGCAGGCAGAGGGAGCAGGAGGCTGGGCCCGCAGGGAAGAGGCAGCGCCAGCACCCAGAGGAGGGGCTGGGGGGCCCTGGCTGCACAGGACACAGATGGGCGGGGGCGGGGGAGTGGACAAGGCTGAACTCAGGGCTCGGGGCTGCTGGGACTGGGGGAGGCGAGGGGTCAGGCATGCAGTCCCCGCTTCCAGGCTGGTGAGTGAGAGGACAAAGATGTGACCACTGGGGTGAGGACGCGACAAGAGAAATAGTCTGGACACTTGTGTCCACGCCAGGGAGGTGGCCCCAGGCTGGACACAGACGAGCCAGCTGGCTCAGCTTCACTGGCCCTGGGAGGACTCCCTGGTGCAGGCAGGCCAGCGAGGGCAGCAGGAGCCCATTAGGGTCACGGTGGCCCTTGGCCGTTCCCGCAGAAGGTACCCTGTCCCGTGGAACAAGCCGTCCCCTCCCCGCCCCAGTTCAGGCTGCCGGTGGCCCAAGCCCAAAACAGAGGCCCAGAGGCCAAGCCTGCCACAAAGATGCTCCTGCCTGCAGCAGCAGGGCAGCCGGGACCCAGTGCCTGGCGACACCTGCTCCCCACAGGGGCCCGAAGCTCACCAGATGACTATCGGGGGAGACAGGGCAGGGCTTGGAGACGGGGCACATTGGGGCAGTCTGGGACGCCAGGCCGGGAGGAAGGCGGTGGGTCCTCCCACCCACCCCGCACACAGCCCCATATCCCTGGAGAAGGTATGAGGGCCCCATCCCTCTCCAGCCTGTGGTCAAAGCCACATCCCAGGGGGCTGTGACATGAAAGGGCTGCCTGGGGTCTGTGGGACAGGCTGTGTGGGCAGGCCAGCGCCCCCTACAACCTGGGGGGGCCTGGCTTTCATTAGCAACTGCGGTTGGAGCAGCTGAAACAAAGGAACATGTCAGGGACCTTCCCAGCCCCCGCCACCTCAGATGCCTCTACAATGAGGGGCTTGGTCTGGGGAGCTGCTTGCAGGGGAAGGGCTGAGGATGCGATGCCCACCTCCTGCCCCCTCCAGCGCCTCCTCGCCCCGACAGCAGCACGGGGCCTCTGGGTCCCGGCTGCCACCAGACGCGCCCCCGCCAGAGCGGCCCCCACTGCCAGGTCTCACGGCGTTTGTTTCCCGGCCTGCACTCCCAGCCCCCGGGGCCCGGATGCTCACGCAGACACTCGTTGGCGGCCTCGGCTGTGCCCCGAGCCCACGGGCGGTCCTGGAAGAAGGGCAGGCAGCGCTCACAGTCCACGCCCGTGGTGTTGTGCTGGCATCGGCAGACCAGCTGGCCCGCTGTGTCGGGGCCACACTCGCTGGCGTGCCCATTACACTTGCACCTGGGAAAGGACACAGAGGATGGGGGGCGGGAACCGAGGGGCGCCAGCAGGGCGGGGCTCATCTCCAGGAAGCCCTGCCTACCGGTGCGCCCAATGTTGTGGCTCAGTTACGGAGCTTTACTGAGCACCTACTCTGTGCCCGAGGCAACAGTAACAGAGAACGGGCAGCGCTCACGCGCTGGCTCGCTTGGCTGTTCAGAGCTCTGCTGACACGTAACCCCCTGCACTTCACGAGCCCGTTGCACGGATGGAGGAACTGAGGCCCAGAGAGGTCGCCCAAGGCCACCCGTTAGTAATGGCGAAGTTCTCAGAGCCATCCCTGCAGGCTTCTGCCCAGAAGGAGCCCTTCAGGGGCCGAGAGGGACCCAGGAAGGAGTTCTCTGTCTCCCAGGTTGAGGGTGGGCCCCTCACAGGGTAATAGGTGGGAGGCACCCCGTGCCCTTGTCCTCTGACTGTGCCCAATGAGACAGAGGCTGCTTCTTACAAAAGACGGCCCCAACTCGTCTCGAGTCCCTGGGGAGTCTGTGCCCTGGAGGGCAGCTCTGGCCCGTGTCCCACCTCCTCCACGCCCCCACAGGCCAGGAGACGCTGGAGCCGGGCAGGAACAAAGGGGTGCTCTGGGGACCATCGCCCCCCACTCCGTCCCGAGGAGCCAACCCGAGCTGCTCTGACGACAGCCATGGCGCCCAGCTCCCAGCCTTCCTCGGTGCCGCCCTGACCCAGCAGTTAGCTCACATCTCGCTGGGACCGCACTGCTGGGCCGCAGGGACCATAATTATCCCCATTTCGAAGATGGGCAAACAAAGGCTCAGGCCATTGAGTGCTGGGCGCCAAGGGGCAGAGCCAGAACCTGAACCCTGTTCTCCCCTGCTCCGCGCAGACCCAAGTGCGAGGACGGCTCCCTAGGGCTGCTTCGCGGCTTACCCTGCGCTGTGTCCCACGCTCTGCCCCAAGCAGGCGTTGAAGAACCACTGCCAGCACGCGCGGTGCTTTCTGTGCTTTGGGGACACAGGGCTTGGGAAGGGCGCCAGCACGGCTTCCAGGCCAGGTCTCCCTGGGAGCCCAGGGTAGGCAGGTAACACCCGTCAGTTCTGGCACGGGCGAGGTGGGTACCAGGCAGTCTTGGGACAAGGAACTATCTGTGTCCTCGAGACCTGGCTGCAAATGCCACCCTCTTCCATGAGGCCCTGTGACCCCAAGGGCAGGAATGAAACATGTGGGGGCCACCATGGGCCCACAGGCCGCGGGGCCACCTGCCTGCAGGCAGCTGCCCACCTGAGCGTGGTCTGGGTCCAGCAGCTGGGGCCCAGATGTTCGCTGGGCCAAAAGGGCTGGAGCCCACTGCCACCCACCATCCTGGGGGGCCACCTCCTGCCGGGTGGTTTGACCTGAATCACGGGTGGGGGTGGCAGCGGAGCGGGAGCAGAGGGCCCTCACAGGCACCCCCATTCCGCCTTCACTCCAAGCCCCAGCCTTCCCTGGAGGTGCAGGCGTGCTGAGAGCAGGCCGCCGGCCCCGCGCCCCTCCCCAGACTTGGCCACCCCTGCAATGCCCCCCGGGCGTCCCTGCGTTACGGAAGCCCCTTGCCTTCTCCTTCACAGACCATCGCTCCCACGTCCTAAACTGACTCTCGTCCTAAACACCTTCGGGCCCACACACGCAGCCCTACCCCACTGCATCTCCCACGGTCGCACCCAGCGTTCGGCTGTTTCTCTTCTCCCCGACGCGGAGGTCGAGGGGTTGGGGCGTTTTAAAAACCCAACCCTATTACCACCCAAACCTTTAACAGCTCCCCCCTGATGGTGGGACAAAAATAAACTGCGTCGCCCTGACTGGTGTGGCTCAGCGGGTTGTTCATCGCCCCGTAAAGCGAAAGATTGCTGGCTCGGTTCCCAGTCGGGGCACACGCCTGGGTTGCAGGTTCGGTTCCCAGTCGGTTGGGGCATGTACGAGAGACAACCAATCAATGTTTCTCTCTCACATTGATGTTTCTCTTCTTTTCTCCCTCCCTTCCCCTCTCTAAAAAATAAAGAAACTGTGCCCAACCTTCCAGCCAACGCCCCGCCCTCCGTCTCAGCCCCAGCGCCTTCTCCTAGGTCCTGAAGTCCCAGGTCTCTCACCCACGGGTCCTCTGCCCGGAACACTCACCCCGCCAGCCCTGGCAGCTCCCCTCTGCGGAGCAGTCTCCCTGACCTGCACACAGCCCGCCCTGGCCTCCTGTCCCTGTCATTCTGGGGCGTGTGGCCATGTTTACTGGGGACCGATCCCATTACTGTCTGCCAACCCCACGAGATGGGGGCAGGGGCGGGAACACATCTATCTTCCCCTCAACTTTCCAAGAAGGAACCCGACGAGCAGCTATGTTGGAGACATCACCTGTGCCTCTTCGGGTTCCAGCACCCGCCTCCCATAACCAGCACCGGCGGCCACGTGTGAGGCTGGCCCGGGATGTCAACAGCCCCTGCCACTTAGGGAGGGGAGATGCGTAAACACACAAGCTGCAGCGCGCACTGACTGATGCCAGAGAAGACTGTGGACCAGGACCACAGCCCCAAAGGCAGGGCCTAGCGTCCCACATGCGATAGGGGACCGGAGCGTGGCGACCCTTCCGCGCCATTGGCCTGGGGCCTCGGAGCAGCCTGAGCTGTTCGTCCTGTGCTGAGATGCCTCATAGCTTCATTAAAAAAAATTTGGGGCCCCCTGACGCCCCACTCTACCCCAGTTTACCAGGAGATCCGGGGGGCAGTGGGGTTGGTGGGCTGATAACTTATAAAATCAGGGGTGCTGATTTTTTAAAAAGGAAGCCTTTGAAAGTTTTGAGTCCTGGGCCTGCTTGTGGTCACCATCAACCAGCGTTACGTGCACAACACGAGGGCCGTCGGCCTGGCTGCACTCTGAGCGCGCTACTCTAGACGGGGTGCGGGCATCACCCTGCGCTGCGTAAACACCACCTCCTGGCGTGGAGGAGAAGGAAGGGAGGGAGGGAGGCAGGGAGGGAGGGAGGGGGAAGGGGAAAGGGACTTCAAGGCAGAGGGGACAGCAGGTGCAAAGGTCCACTGTGTCCCGCGAATGGTGGCGGGAAGAGCTGATGCGGGAGAGGCGGTGAGAGCCCCCGGGCTGGGGGCGGGAGGCTGCCAGGCAGTCCTTGAGTGCCGGCCCGAGGGGCCCGGATCCTGCTCCCTCTCTCTCCCCGGGGACACCGGAAGCAGCTCTTCCGCCCTCTACCCACATGGGGTGACCCTCAGACGGCAGCCACCTTTGGAGCCCTGGTCCCTGCCACCCTGCCTTCCACCTACCTGCCTCCCACAGAGAAGTCAGACACGGCGTAGTAATAGGACTGCAGCACCTTCGGGTCCTTGAAGATGTCGTCCCCAAACGTGTTGAGCCGGTCGAGGGAGATGAGGAGCTCGGTGCTGGTGACCCACTCCTGGCGGGGCAGGGGGGCGGACAGGGAAGGGGAAGGGCTGCCGTCAGCAGCTTCCTTCCTGAGTATTGGCTCCCATCCCGCTCTGCTGGGTGGCCCAGCTGGCCGCCTGGGGGTCTCCTGGGACACAGGGACAGGCCAAGCTCAGGCAAGTTCCAAGCTCGCTGCAGAAACCAGAAGCCTGTGTGTCGGGGGTCACACCGACCTGGGTGCCAGGCCACTAACTGGCTGTGCAGCTTTGGGGAAGCTGCCCAGTGTCCCGGAGCATCCATGTCCCACCCGTGAGATGGGACAAGGTGCAGGGCCGTGCCCACGAGGGCGTTTGGAGGATGGCTGGTGTCAGCAGCAGGGCGTGGGGTGTGGCACCTGCAAGGTGAGTGGTGACCCTGTTGCCCAAGCCGCCTGGCTTCTCCCAGTGGCTCCTGCACCCCCATTCTAGAGGTCAGCCGGGGGAGGTCCAGTCTCAGCGCCCTCCTTCCCCGCTCAGCTGGGCCTGGCGCGGCGCGGCCCTAGGTTTATGGGTGTCTCCTGTGCTAAAGATCGGGCTCCCACAGGCAAGCCACTTGTCTGAGGGGATGTCTGTCCCACCCCACAAGAGCAGGAAGTTGGGGCCCCCTTAGTGGCTGCGCCCCCGCACACAGCAGGCACAATAAACACTTGCCGGTCACTGAATGAGCAGCTTCCCCGGAAGAGCCGGTGGGGAGGTGGGAGAGAACCCACGTGAAGACTGACATTTTCCTCTGCCTGCTGTTTGCTACAGTCAGGTGGCTCCAGCTGAATTTTAATTAGCGTTTTAACTCAGCCCAGGAGCTCCTGGTTTAGCAGCCGGGCCCATCAGGACAGAAAATGAACTCCTGGCAAAGTCTGTTTTCTCGCCCAGCAGGACGACTCAGGCCAGCGGACCCCCGCTGCTCCCCCGGCTCGTAGCCCGCAAGCCCGCTGCCGGGTCCGCGGTGCCTCTGCCCCAAGGCGCTTCAGCGTGGGAGGAGCGGTCCAGCACCAGAAAACCGCAGCGCGGACCTCAGCTGAGTTTGTAGGTCCCCATCACTCCCGGTCACTTGTCAAATGTCAGCGCACATTTGGCGATCTGGTTAAAATGTGCTTCTGATCCACGGGCCTGGGGTGGCCTGAGACTCCGCATTCTAACAGGGGCCTCGGGGATGCGGATGCTGCTGGTTCCTGGGGCAGCGGAGGAGCGGAGGCCAGGGTGGGACACACAACAGCACACCGCTGAAGGCTCTCAGAGTCTTTTCTTTCTCCACATAAAGTGCCGCCTACAGAACTCACACCGGTTTATGGAAGGCGCAGCGGTTGACGCTGTGGCGGCGGCTGGGGCCTTCACAGTAGCCTCACCAGCAGGCACTGTTCCTGAGTGAGGAGCCAGGAAAATTCCCAGACACGTGGAATGGGGAAACTCGGACAAGAAAATTAAATGAGGCCAACAGTTTGAACAACTTCCAGCCAGCTGGTGAATCGCAAGCCTTATCTCCCCTAACCAAGGACACTTGAGAGCAAATGGTCCGTTCCTCTCCTCCCTGACCGGGGAATGCTCAGCTTAAATCACCCTGGCCAGGGACATAGAGGACAGTGAGTGCTGTTTGTCCAGCCCACGGTCTCCCGCCCGCAGGACCCTCCTCTGGGTTCCTGTGTCTGCTGGGTGGCTGCGACCCGTTCTGTCAGTCTGCGAAGACAATGGCAATAGGCACAGCGTCCAACTCCCCCTGAGACGCTGGCGCTGGAGCTGGGAGGGAGCAGGGGGATTTGTTTCTTTCACCCAAATTGCGTGGGACCTCCCTCCCGGAGGCCGTAAAGGCCATTTGGGGGCAAACTGGAGCCCCGCTGTACACAGGCAGCAGGCTTTTGCAACTTTTAATCACCTCGACTACAACCACGAGTGAGCACTCAGTTGACTCTGGACAGGCCCCGGGCCAGAATGTGGTGGAGGAGGAGCAGGGGGCAGAGCTTCGGGTCAGCCAGGCCCCGGGACAAAGTCGTTCAGGGCTACTCAGCTCTTTCGCCTGATTCTGCCTGATTCTGCCCTGGCCGGGTGGGACCCAGGACCCAGCAGCTGCACGGACACATCTTTTGTTACCTCCCACCCCAAAGTACCCCTTGTCCTCAGAGAAAGTGCCACCAGGGTATATCCAGAGGGGACAGGAGAGAACGGCTGGGTGGCCTTGAATTTCTTTGTCCTTCTCTGACCTTGGTTTCTGCCGGGAAGTGGTGGGGGGTGGGGTGGGGATTTCTGAGGTTGTTTCTCTGTTAGGGACAATGTCCAGGACAGACAAGACAACAAGTCAGGGGACCCCGCTGCCCAGGTCCCCAGCTGACGCCTCTGCCCCGGGTGACGTGGCACAGACGCAGGTGGAGCAGGGCCCGAGCATTCTGCTGTCTTCAGGTGACCTTGGCTGATATTCCCTCATCTGCTGAGCCTGGAGCCCCAGGGAGGAGACGCTGTCATTTCAGACAGAATCAAGATGATCGATCACATGTGGGCATGGTCAATGGGACAAGTAGGGACTGGGCGTCCGAAGCCGTGACCCTGAGCTCTGAAGGGTTTGCCTCCCAACGAGAGGTCTGGCCTCTGCCCCTGCTCCCGAGGTCACCTCTAAGCCATCACGATGTTCTGCTTGAGAAGAGTGTCTTTGTTCACCTGGGGTCTTGGGCGCCCGCCAAGGTGGTCTATGCTAACGTGATCTGTGGGGCCCTCGGGCTGCATGGGGTCAGCCGGCCTCTGGGACGGCCGGGGGTGAAGTCCGTGCAGCGGTCCCCCGGGAAGACACTGGACGCCCAGGCGCAGGCGAGCCTCCCCAGTTGGCAGCAGGCCGTGTGTGTTGTCACACACAGATGCTGGGAGAAATAAGTGCTGTCCCCAGGACCCTTCTCTGGTTTCAGCCTGTGTCTTTTCGCTGTAATAAATCATCACCCTGAGTATAATAGTGTCTCTGAGTTCTGTGAGTCCTTCAGGCAAATCCCTGAACCTGAGGGTGCTCTTGGGGACCCTGGACCTGCTGACTCCCCGTCTCCTCTTGCTGGGCACCCCGGGCAGGACACAACTGCTCTCTGGACCTCAGTATCCCCTCTGGAAACAGTCAGGATTCAGGCCCCGCCCCCTCGCTGCCCCAGGCAGGCAGAGGAAACGACCAGTCGACCAGTCGAGGGAAGGAGTTGTGGCAGTTTTACTCGGCACAGGCCGGTCCGAACACAGGGGAGCAGGAGAGAGGACCATCCAGTGCCCAGAAACGTGAACCAACCAGGCCACTGTGTCTGGAGACGAATGGTCACCAACACACAGGGACGTGGACAAGCGTGGCTGCCAACACCAATGGGGCCACAAAGCTGAGCAGAGCCAGGCAGGCTGGCGGGGGACCTGTGTAAATGGACACAGCCACAGACCTGCTGCGCCCTCCCCAGTGAGGACAAGGACGGCGAGCTGCTGTGACTTTCAGCTTCAGAGCGTGAGTGAGCACGTCGTAGTGCCAAGCACTGGGCTGCCATGTTAGCGCTGATTTTTGAACGTGGCAGCCGCGGGCTGCACGTGGCTACTTAAATGAAAATTCATTAAAATGAAACAACTTTTTAAATTCAGTCCCTCGGTCGCACTTGTCACATTTCAAGTGCTCTACAGACACTTGGGGCTAGTGGCCACCATTGTGACCATTTCTATCTCGTGGCCGAAAGTTCTGCTGGACAGCGTGGCCGTCAGCAGAGAACCCAGGACTCTGATTCCAAAACTCATGCTCTTCTCACGATTTCCACCTTATCCTTGGAAAAGCCCGTGGAGACACGCAGGGCGGCAGTGCCATGGGTTCACAGCAGGAGGGAGCGAGCCCTTGGCTGCGGGTTCTGGAAGGAGCGCCGGCCGGGAGTCAAAACACGCGGGATCTGGTCTGGGCCCTCCCACCAGGCGAGCCCCTGGAAACCCCTCCCTGCCGCCACTCCAGGCCTCAGTTTCCTCACCTCCTTGAGGAAGGAGTCAGGTGAGGTCATGGTTGTCTCATGGTGACAACCAGGACTGAGTCACCCTCCTTCTCCTTAGTTCAGTACCGGGTGTCCACAAAAGGTTTAGACACAACAAAGGCTTCTATTGCTTCAAATCTGAAAACCACAGATCCCATAGGCCCGCTTGTGTCCTGCCACTTCAGGCTTCACTGTGGTCCCCGGACCCAGCGTCCTGCCCACAGCCCAGTCCCATCCACCCCGCCCCCCACCCCGCCAGCCCGCCCCTGTCTGACCTGCAGCGCGGGGCTGTCCTCGAAGTTGTAGGCGCTGGGCCGGCCCTCCAGGGTGGAGAAGGCCACGTTGCCCCCGCTCAGCGGGGAGATGTCGCTGAACTCGGAGGTGCAGAAGGCCACGCGCTCGTCCTGGCCAGGGCGTAGGTAGTGGCCCTCGGGCCGGCCGTAGGTCTTCCAGCAGGAGGCGCTGTAGAACTGGTAGGGTTCCCATGGGCCGCCCGCACGGCTGCGCTTGTAGATGGCGAAGCTCTCGGGGCGGCTGGTGTGGAACTTCAGCCGCACGTAGGTGATCTCATAAGCTTTCCCTGCAGCGGGAAGGCACGGACCCATTTTACAGACGGGAAGGGACAGTCAGAAGCCTGGTCCAGGGCCAGCAGGCTGGCCGTGCTGCACAAACTCTCTTGGATTGTGAGAGGCTGTCTGGGGCACTGTGCCGGGAGTGCCACCATCGATTAGTGATGCCTGTCAGGGGCAACATGGAGGACCATGTGGACATGCCTGCTGGGTATTTGCCTTCCTTGCTCTGGCACGGGGATCTGCCTGTAGCACCTCCGATAGGCAGCCATCTCTCTTTGCTCAAATATCTCCAGCAACGCGGTGCTGCCACGTTCTCCTCTACCGTTAGACAGTTATTTCTTTTACTATACCCCACCAAAGCCGACCCTTCTGCCTGGGTCAGCCTTGTTCCAAGCCCCCCAGCCCTAACACAATCCTCCCTGGACCCCTCTATTCCTCTCACGTCCATCTAACTTCTGATCCAGATTTATCTGCTGACTCCACAGCCTCATCTCCCAATTTAACCTTCAGTCCATTATAGTTCAGCTTCCCTGGGCCACTCGACAGAAACCGCTCTCTTGAAGCCACCTCCGCCAAGCACCCCGTCCTGGCCACAGCCAGGGGACCCCGCCTCGCCTTGCTTCCTGGGCCACTGGTGCCTCCTGTTACCTTGGAAGTTCCTTCCCCAGGAGTCCCATACAAGGGACTGGTATTTGGCAATAGAAAGGGAGGAAGTACAGACATCCCTTGACTTACGGTGATGTTGTGTCGAGATAAACTCACGGTAAGTTGAAAACATTGTGAATCAAAAACACGCTTACTACACCTAACCTACCTAACATCACAGCTTAGCCCAACCTGCCTTAATGTGCTCAGGGCACTCGCATTAGCCCACAGCTGGACCTGGACCTTGAGCTTCATCTCAAGAGCCATTGTCTTCCTCTCTTCTCACCAGAAGCAGGAGACACAGCTGGGCGTTTGGCAGACGGGGTGCTATGCGCAGCCACAAAACACCGGCAATATCCAAAGATGCTGGCAGCCCAGGCACCGCGGAGTACCGGCTGTCCACCCGTGCTGCCCGGTCCTGCTCAGTGTCCGGAGAGTGCCCTGCTGCGTGTCGCTAGCCGGGGGGCGAGAGCAGAATTCAAAATTTAAAGTGGGGCTTCTACTAGATGTGTATCACTTTCACACCATCATAAAGTAGACAAATTGTAAGTCAACCCATCGAAAGTCGGGGACCACCTGTACTGATAACATGTTACAACATGGACGAACCTGGAAACTATTAGGGTAAATGAAAGAAGCTAATCACAAAAGACTACATTGTCTATATGATTCCACTTGTATTAAATGTACTGTATAGGCAAATCCATAAAGACAGAAAGTAGATCAGTTGTCTAGTCATGGGGGCGGGGGCCGGCTGGGCGGTGCTGCTGATGAGCACAGGGCTTCTCTGGGCGGTGAGGAAATGCTCTCTGTTTTAAAGATTTTACTTATTTAATTTTAGAAGGAGGGGAAAGGAGGGGGGCGGGGAGAGAAACATCAGTTGGTTGCCTCTTGCATGTCCCCAACTGGGGATGTGGCTGGGGACCCAGGCCTGTGCCCTGACCGGGAACTGAACTGGTGACCTTTTTGTCTGCAGGCCGCAATCAATCTGCTGAGCCACACCAGCCAGGGCAGTAAAATGTTCTAAAACAGACTGTAGTGATGGGTCTACAATCCTACAAATATGCCAAGAACCACTGAATTGAGCACTTTGGGTGAATTATATGGTGAATTAATTAAATCTCCATAAAGCTGTTATATATATTTTTATAAATTGGACCTCACATCCATTAGGATGGTTATCTTTTTTTTTTTTTTTTTTAATTTAGAAGTGTTGGTGAGCATGCAGAAACATTGGAACCTGGTGTACTGTTGGTAGAAATGTAAAATGGTGCATTTGCAAAGAAAAAGTCTGGGAATTTCTCAAAATTTTTAAAATACAATTACCACATGGTCCAGCAATTCCACGTCTGGGGCTACATCCGGAAGGACTGAAGGCAGGGTCATGAGGACCTATTTGCACAGCCACGTTCATGGCAGCCCTGCCACATCGACCAGAAGGTGGGCAGAACCCAAGTGTCCATCAGCAGATGATGGACAAACAAGATGTGGTCCAGCCATACCACGGACTGTTTATCTTTCAGCCTTAAAAAGCAAGGACATCCTGACACCTGCTACAATGGGAATGAACCCCGAGGACATTATGCTGAGTGAAATAAGCCAGTCACCCCAAGTCAAATACTGTATGGCCCTCTTTATCTGAGGTCCCTAGAGCAGTCACATTGACAGAGACAGGATGTAGAATGCCAGTCGCCAGCCCCTGGGGGCGGGGCTGGGAGCTAGTGTTTCCCGGGGTGGGAGTCACGGTTCCCGGAGACCAGTGGCGGGAAGGCGGGGCATCAGGGTGAACGCACGGAAGGGCACTGCACGGAGCGGCACGCCTGGAATGGGCAGGGTGGCAAACGCCATGTTATGCGTATTTTACCTCGATAAAAAAAATCTGAATATATACAGGGCCCGGCAGAAGTAACGCCTGCTTGAGTGCGGTGGGTAGGGTAATAATATCGGTATAATACGCTATAGTCTTAATTTGAACATTTCACCTAAAATGTCCTGTGATGTGCTTGAGTGTGATATTGTTATGTTACAAAAGTACATGCTTATGAGTTTGTAATAAAAAGGGGCGCTGTTTGTGCCAGACACTACCCTGTGTGTGTGTGTGTGTGTGTGTGTGTGTGAGCGCGCGCATGCGTGCGTGTATGAGAGAGAGAGAGAGAGAGAGAGAGAGAAATTTGGGGGTGAGCAAAGCCCCTGAAATTACTAGTCTGTAATATGGAGAAAAGCTAAGTCAAAATGCTGAATGAAAAGAAAGACACGAAATCCACCCTTCAGAATCAACAAATTACATTAAAAAACCTCTAAGGAGTGGGCAGAAAAGAAAGACACCAAACAAGAAAGTGTGACTGTCCTCAGGGCAGTGACCTCTTCCCTTTTTTTGTGTCCTGCATTTGCCTAAGTTTCTCTTGTGAAGCTTGTTTCAATTTAAAAACGGGGGAAAACACATTTAAAAAATTTTGTTTTAAAGCAACCGCCTTGCCATGTTCTCTTTTAAGATGTTTTGCAAAGCTGTGCGGCAGCTCAGCTTGGCACTGGGAGCCCCAGGCCCTCAAAGGAAAGCTCGGGTGGCTGACCAGTCCGCGGGGGGCGGGGAGAGAGGCGGCCCGGTGGCTGCTTCTGTGCCCGGCGGGCTTCAAGCCGCGGAGCCAGGCAGCGACTCACCCCAGATGTGCGCTCACAAAAGGACGCTGTGGCGGGTCTGCCAGACTCCTGGGTAAACACCTAACAGCCAGACCCCTCGCTCTGAGACCGGAGGGGAGCTTGGAGCCACTTAAAAGGTAGCCGGCAGCGCGGAGCGTGATTAGCGTGATCGGGAAAAGGCAGTCCCTGGGATTTCATGCAAACAAGCAACACAGGGCTCTGCCTTTCCTCCTCCTTGCTGAGCCAGGAGGTGAGGGAAGGTGCTGGAACATCACAGAGACTCGGCAGGAACTTTTTGTTACCAGAGTTAATTAGAGGAGCCAAGAAAGCAACTTAATCCTCGCTTTGTGATGAAAAGCTTTCTGCCAAAGGCAGCCTGAAGGCCGGGGAAGGAACCCCACCCCCGTCGACCCCAGGTCTTCTAAACAGCAGCGAGAATTACATTTGCAGTTTCAACCCAGACCCTAGCAAGCCCCAGCAGCTGAAGAGGCTTCAGGGTGATGTGGGGATAGCTGTGTCCCCAGCGGGAAAGCTGGACCAGACACCATACCTGACTGTAAACGGCGGCTGCACTGCTTGGTAGCGCATGGATCTTACCACCCGACCGACCAGCATGCTGTTCCCTGTGCTGGGAATGCTGTTCCCCCTCCGCCTTACCTGGCTGGCTCCCACACACCGCACTGATTTAGCGGGCTGGCTGCACGCCCCGCCCTCCGCCCTGTGCAGAACGTCCTTCTCCCGCTTTCCAGGGCCGATGGCTCCTTGTCCTTGAAGCTGTGGGCCTGGGTGCCTGGCTGGGCTGCCCCAGCTGCCCTGGGCTTCCACCCCGTGTGTAAACACCTGCTCATCTCTGCCACTGGACTATGACCCCCTGGAGACAAGGGCTGTGAATCCCTGCCACTGAGCACAGTGCCTGGCGCGTAGTAGGTAGGTCTGCAAGTCCTGACCCCCAATGAGTCTTTAACAACAGCCAGCATCTACCGAGCACCTACTATGCTCCAGGCACCTGGCTCAGCGCTTTACGCACACTGTTTCTCGGGACAGCCCCAAACAGTCCCATCACTGTGCTCGTTTTACTAACGAGGGCCTTGCCCCCTGTTACGCAGGAAACAGTCGAGTCCGCTCGACCGCAGGCCCGCCTGGCCCCAAAGTTGCCGCCTGGACTAGGCGCCCCTCTGTTCAGGGCTCAGAGAGGAGGGGCTGCCCAGGAGCACTGCCACCGAGCCCGCACCTTGAGCGCTGGGCCACGTCCTCTCCAACCAGCTGGGACATGCAGCCCATCAGGAATGACAGCAGGGCAGCCATAAAACCAGGCCGGCCCACATCCGGCACCAGCGAGCAGAGTGAGCTCGGAACAGAACGGAGAGGCTTATTTTGGGAAAATGGAAACAAAACAAAGCCCTTTAATTGGAGCCATCTGGGGAGCAGGGGACGGGAGGGTGGGGCCGGAGGGGGCAGGGTGGGAAGCGGAGCGGAGTGTGGGCGAGGCTGCCCTGCCCGCTGCAGGCATCAGGACCAGGCGGCCAGAGCGGCTCCCAAGGTCGCGGCGGGGCCCTCAGCTCTGCCTTCCGCTCCCACGCCCAGCTCCTGGCCCTTTGGGTGCTGGGGAACCCCCATAACCACGATGCCAGCCCCCGTGAGAGCCGGGCCGGAGCAGGGCTGGGCCCGTCACACTTGTCTCATCTTTGGGCCAAGAGTCTAAACCCCAAAAAAGGACCAAGGTTGTCAAGCCTGTTGTCTAACCTGAAGAGAGTGAATAGGTTTCATCAGATTGGTTATTGTCTAGGGCTTTGTGTTAAGAAGGATTCCGAGGTCCAGCCTAAACTGAGACAGGACCGAAATGCCGGGGTCCCTATCCAGTCTCCACCACTGGCTCTTTGGCCTTGGCCAAAACACCTAACCTCCCCCACCTCCACTAACTGGGCAAATAACTTGAATGTAGTGACTCAGTTTTCCCATTTGCACAAAGTGCGTAACAATCACAGGGTTTAATGAGTAAATGCCTGCAAAGTACTTAGAACGGCACCCAGGCAGGCTGCCTCTTGCACACGACTAAGCATTAGCTGTGACCCCATTCAATGGCCAGGCCAGCATTCAGGGGGCCCCTTGGCACAGGGGCCTGTGCCGGGCGCCGGGTCCAGCTGTGGAAACAGGCTGTCCCTCTGCAGCTTGGAGCACGGCTGCCACGCGCAAGCCGGAACCACAACGCTACACAGCCCAGGCAGGGACGGGGAAGGGCGAGGGGCTGCGAGAGCACACCGGCAGGCCCTCTGCCCCGTCCTGGGGGCCGGGGGCTTCCTGGGGGAGGGCACCTCTAAGCTGGGTGAGGCAGACAGCACAGTCGACAGCCGCGTGACCAGGCCTTGGTGCTGGGACGGGCCCGCAGTGGGCACTCCACCGTTTTGTTTATGAGTGAGATACGGGTTGTCCAGAAGAAGGCAGGAGACGCTCTACAGGTCAAATGCAACTGCAGGAGGAAAGAAAGGCTTCCATGGCCCGTTTGCAGGCCTGCTGAAGGGCAGCCGGCGGCAGCCGGCATTGGGGGTGGGTAAAGGGTGATCTGGGCGGCTGCCAGCACCCTTCCTGGGCTTGGGGACTGGCCCCTCCTGCCACTTGGGGGCCAGTCCTGGGGAGCCCAGGAGGGGTGAGGCGGCCAGGGCTGGTGGGGCCCAGGGGTCCAGGTGGGGCTGCTTTGGAGAGTGGAAGCTAACCAGGATGGCTGCCTTGACCCCCGGACCTGCTGGGGCCCAGCATTCCAGCCAGAGCCCCCAGGGAGCAGGAAGGAGGACTTGGGCCCCCAGCGCTGGCCCCAGCCAACGCAAACAAGGCCGCCCGCTCGACAGGAAGACACAGTGGAACCGGAGCTCAGGAGACCCAGCTGGCCTTGGGCTCCTCAAGGGCCAGCAGGGCCGTCCTGCTGTCCAGCCACGGCCCAGGCCGGGGGCCCTTGTCTCCTCGCCCCAACATCCTCTCTATCCATCTGGGCTGTGCGGGCCTCAGGATATGGGGGGGCGTGGGTGGCGGCTTTCCGGCTCCCCGGTGCTGCCCCCTGACCTGAAATGCCCTCCATTTTCATGTCACCTCTCCTGCCACCCATCAGATCTCAGCGAGGTCCCTTTACCCTGAGTGTGTCCCCAGTCTCATAAGTCCCGGGCCCAGCCTGTGCCCCGTAGGGCCGGACCGCACAGCATGCGCTCGGGCAGTGGGGGCTGGGCCGGAGGGCAGGCAGGGACCCACCCGCCTTCCTCCTGCAAACCCCCCTTCTCTCGGGGACTCAGACCTCACCTGCTGGGAAACCAGAGAAGTGACGGTCTTTCTGTCACTCCAGAAGGTTCTCAGGGATCCAAGAAAGTGGACAAAGAGACCCCAGACTCCACCCCAGCCTAATGCAAAGCCTGGACCCGCCTTGCCGGCTACTGCCCGGTCTGGTGTCATTCTTGGGAGCAGCACAGTTAGGGGAGGGCCTGGGCGTCTGTCATTTAGGGCTCTGTGACCCTGGGCAATGGATTTCATTCTCAGAGCCTCAGTCTCCCTGTCTATGAAAGAACACATCGTGCGGACTCAGCGGAGTCCTTAGTGTGTGTGTGGCGAGAGCCCTCTGATTTCTGTCTGTTACCCCTGAGGACCACCCCCCTTTACCCCACATCCACCGCCAGGTCCCACCCCCCTCTTCCCTGGCCTTCACTGAAGGACTGGGAGCCGTGGATCCCGCTGCTGCCTTTCATCCCAAACGGGAAGGCTCAGCTTAGCGACTCGGGATCTGGAACAGATGTCTGGGCGCTCGCGGGGGGCTGGGAAAGCAGCGACCTCTACCAGGGGACTGACCGGCTGCCGCCCCTGCCGCTCGCTGCCCCGCACCCCACTCCCCCAAGGAGACCCTGGGCCAGCGGCCACCCACGCTCCCCTCCCACTGTCAAGGAGAGGGGGTGGGGCCGGGGGAGGGGTGAGGCCAGCGGAGGTGGCCTGAGGACCGGGAGGAGAGGCTCCCGCCCACTTCGCCTGACCACAGGGCCTCCGCTGGTAATGCGGTAACAGCCCCGGACCTCTTCTTCCCCCGATATCACGCAACCCCTGGCTCGGCGTGGAGCAAACCCAAGTCCAATGGGGCCCAGCGTGGGCCAGCTTGGCGAGTATTTCTCAATCCCTTTGGAGGGGACACCCCCCAGGGGAACCTCAACCCCGAGCTGCTCTCAGCGAGTGACGACAGTCACACACAAGGGCTGTCACGGTCCTGGTGAGCATGCACCTCCTCCCGCCCTCCCCTCTCCAGCTCATGGAACCAGCACAGCTGCCTGGGAGGGTGGCAGCTCTTAGCTCTACTTTACAGAGAGGAAGCCAAAGTACGGGAGGGCATGGCATCTGCCCGCCGAGTGGCCGGCCGGGCCCGAGCCCAGAGCCCGGTGTGTGACTTCCACCCCCTTCTGTCTCCCAGAGCCCTGAGCTGGGCCCACAAGCACAGGGCAGAGGAGGTAAAATTGTCACTCATTCATTTTTTTCATTTATTGTACAAACCGTTGTAGGATCCCCCTATACGCCCGATGCTGCAGAGTGGCGGAACACAGGTGTGGGGTGGGCTTCACCCGTGTGCGTGTGCGGGGGGGTGCGCATGTGCGTGCTTGACTGTGAGTGTGTGTGAGGCCCTGGCTCAGTGCGGGGTTCCCTGGTTACATGCGGGAAGGCGCCGGCCTGCGAGCGGCCTGGGCGGGGTTCAGGGCGGCCGCGCGGCGGGAGCACAGGACTGGGCGCACCACCAGCACTGGGCAAACGGGAACCGCCCTCAAGTCCAGACACGTCCCCACCCACCTTGCCCGTGCCTGGGCCGCCCCCGGATTCCACGACACATGTAACACATCAGCCCAACCCGCGCCCTTTGTCATGGAACACCATGTCTCCTCCACACCCCCACCCTGTCCCGGATTCCTTCCCCTGGGGCCTTGGGGTCCTGCCAGCTGCGTCCAGCCAGCTCCCCCAGCCTTCCTCCCCCCTTGGTTTCCTGTCACCCGCCTGGGTAGAGACCACGCCCCATCTGGAAGTCCCACCTCGAGGTCCTGATGGGCCAAGGGAAGGTGACAAGCAAGCCCCAGGGAACTGAGTTTCTTGGGGCAGCAACCAGCACTGGGAGTCTCGCTGAGGGGCCCAGTGCCCCCCACCTCATGTGAATGTCATCTCCCCACCCTCCCCAGGGCACTGTCCCCCAGGGCGAGCAAGGGCCCGCTCCCTTGACAGGGCTCACATCAAGGACTTTCTGCTCTGATTTTGGTCACACTGCACACAGATGCTCATATCCAGACTGCCACATAGTGACTGTGTGCCATTGGGTGAAACTCTTAATCTCTCTGAGCCTCAGTGTTCTCGTCGGAAAAATGGGGATGCAGCCCCATAACGCCTTCTCCAAACTGCTTGGCTCCGCGGTGCTTTGCAATTCCAAACTTTTCAGAGTTTAGAGAGATGACCCGGGCCTCACACCATGGACTCTGTTCACACCCCGGCGGGGTCTGGGGCGGGCACTCAAATGAGATTTCAGCAGCAAAATGTAAGAATATTCACTCTAAGTAGAATAAACAAGGTCTATAAATAGCTTCGGGTCATATTGAGCAGCCAAAACAAGTTGTAAAATACTTTGGAGTTTCCAAAGTGTAGGGAGATTTTGGATCCACAGATAAGAGCGTGAGGATGGGTTGACACTCACCCCCTCGCTCCTACCGAAAGTCTGCGGAGGTTGCGACAGGTTAGAGGCTCAGCTCAGTGCCTGGCACCTCTAGGGGCTCCACCAGGACCTGCACTGGGTTGGACTTGGGTGGGGGAGGGGCACTCCCAGTCCCACAAAAGGGGAGGGCCCCGGAACAAAGAGCTGGGCCCCTCCAGATGGGATTCGGGTTCCCAGGGGTCCAAGCGCGCTGCACCTTGGCATGGCGTTGGGTGGAGGGGGCACGAGCAGAGCAGAGAAGCCATGCTGAACGGTCCAGCTCCCAAAAGCAGCATGAAGCATGGCTGCTGCTCATGCTAAACCTGCCGCATGAGGAATGCCTTGGCTCCCCACCCCAAGACCACACCCAGGGCCTGCACCCGGCCTCGGGGATTCACTGAGGCCCCATGTGGGCCGGGTGACCCAAGATTAGGTTCCCACCTTAGAGGGCAGACTGGTTCACCTCCCGGGAGGTCGCCATCCCCCGCTTCCCCCGCACAGCCACTACAGCGAGCGGTCTTTGCACCCAGATCCGCTACTCTGTTAAAGGCTCCCAGAGGCTTCCTGCCGCTCCAGCCCGAGGGGGCGCCCATCAGTCTAACCTTTCAGCCACTGGAGACGGAGGTTCCGTTCCTGAGCCCCCATATCTGCGTTCTACAGCCCACCCAGGGCGCACACGATGGGGTGAGGACAGAGGACGAGGTGGTGGGGCCTGGAGCGCCGCCCCCATCGCTTACCCAGGCGGAGAGTGATGTTGACCGAGGTGGGGTACTGCACACCGAAGGCCATGGACGGACTCTGCCACCAGGTACTATCATCCTGGCTGTGGAAGTCGGTGAGGTACGAGGCATTGTGGTGGCGCAGGGGGTCCGCGGCGTCGCAGCGCTGGCACTGCGCCCCGGCGCCCCCTGCCGCGCCCACGTGCGGGCAGAAGTCCTCGGGTGGATGGCCGCACGTGTGCGAGGCCTCGGCCAGCCGGCCGAACGCCGCGTTCTCGAACACGGGCAGGCAGCGCTGAGCGCGCCCCGCGCCGTCGTAACACGAACCCATGCCCGAAACGGCCGCCCGCGGCATCGCGAGCGCCAGGCCCAGCAGGAGCGCGGCCGCCGCCATGGCCAAGGGCACCGACGTCCCGCGCTCCCGGCCGTGCGCGCCTGGCTCTTCAGCCCGGCTCTGCTCCGGTGGGCGCGGACGGCGCCGCGGGGCGCCAGGGCCCGCCTCCCCCGGCGGGCGGGACCCACGGCCGTGTTGGGAGGGACCGACGGCGGGCGGCTCCGCCACCGCCCGGCCGCTCCGTCCCTTGGCGCAGACCCCACCTGGCGGACGCGCCCGGGAGTGCCCGGCTTTGCAGCCGCCCGAGCTGCCTTCCCCTGGGGGTCCGTAGCCTCGGAGCCTCAGGGTCCTGCTTGTAAAACGGGGTTGATCACGATGCAGCTCCATTCCCGCGTTGCGCGGTTTCCATGGCCGCTCCTTAAAGGGAACCTGCTCACCTGTCCCCCTTTCCTCCTGAGATTACAGGGGACGGCAGGCCTTTCCCTGGTCTTCACCGTGCACACCCCTTTCTAGCAATGACGCGGGAAGGTTCCTCACGTTTCTGCAGCTCCTTTAACTCCGAGAAGTGCATCTGCTGTGGGTCCCTCTCTGCTCTCAAAGCAGAGAGACTCCAACCTGATATTTGTGACATCCCTGATCTCATCACAAGTATCAGTGAGAAGCCTTGGCCACCCCCTCCCCAGTAGAGGACTCTTCTTACTCTCCATTCATTCGAGTGAGTAAAGCAAAGGAGAAGAGCTATATGTTCTCATGAAAAGATGCGAGAGAAAACACCAGATAAAATGTAGCACAGACTCAGTGAGCGGGCTGATGGGATGTCACAGAAGGGGGTACATGGAGGTATTGGGGTGCAGGGAGGATGGGGTGGCTAGCTCTGCCTGGAGCTGGAGGGCGCTTCCCAGAAGAGGCTGTGAGTAAACTGGGCCGTGAAGGGTGAACCAGGGAAAGGGTGTCTCCAGCAGGGGGCACAGCACCTGCACAGGCCAGAGGTGGGCATGGGGTGGAGGGGCGAGTCCGCTGCATGTTTGCAGCTCTGGGTGGGGAGTGGGCCCTGGGGGCGCTGCAGGGGCGGGGCACAGAGGTCAGGCAATGCGGGGTGCCGGGCAGCAGGGCAACGAGCCGGGCTTCGTCCTACAGAGGGTCTGCGGGGGCACAGGTGGCTCATCTAACGGGCTGGGCCGCAGACGAGGGCCCCTTCGAGAGGCGCCAAGCAGGTGCTCGCGACCTTGTCTGTCCCCTGGCTACCCTGCCTCTACTGGCCACCTCCGTTGGGGTCTGCCAGGGTCTCCTTCCAGGTTTCCCTGCACCTGCGGCATTTCCACTTTCTCCTGCCCAGCGCCCCGTGTCCAGCTGTCAATGTTCACCCAGGATCTACCACCAGGTGGCGACATCGGCCCTATTCCGGGCTGGCCCTTCTGCCCCCTGGCAAAGGGACACTTTGGCCAGCCTTCCTTGCACAGCCAACGCGCCTGAAACCAGGAGAGGCCCTGGGTCCAGAGCGCTGGCTGTACAAATGGGGACACTGAGGCCCAGGCAGGACACACCCACAGCAGGACGTGACCAGTTCTCATCCCTGAGGTCCACTCCTCCCAGGAAAGGAGTCAGGGAGGGGTTGGCTGGGACCCCCAAATGCCAGGAGTGTCTGTGCCCCTACAGAGTCCCAGATGCCTCCCAAAATCTGCACGACAAAGGCCAATAACACTTCTGTGTCTGCAAGAAAGGGCCTCGAAATGAGCCAGGAGAACTGGAAGTCACCGTTTGGGACACGGGGCAATAAGATGCATGCTCTCCATCAAGAGAAGGCTCTGAGAGTGACCTCCCAAGCAGCATCCACTGTGACCCTGCTGCACATGTAGGACCTGAACCCCTCATCTTCGCGGGGCCACCGAAGCCATGGACCACGTGGCCCCTGTTTCCCTGTAGCTTTGAGGCCTGGCCCCACAACCTGCCCCATTGCCCTGACCCATTGTTCTCATGGTGGCGGGGAGCCCAGGAAGGCCTTGGAGCAGCAGCAGCGGGGCCCTCATCAGTCTCCTCCAGGGAGGTGTGTGGGGTGAAATCCAGGGGACCAGCATGGAGGTGGTGTGGCAGGAGAAAGCCGGTGTCTGTGTGTGGCCGATGGGGGAACGTGCCTACGCCAGGGACCGGGAAGTCCCTGCAGAGGCCTGGCCTCCGGCTTGGGGCTGCAAGCAAAGGGGGCACACTCCACTCCCTACAGTCCACCTGCCAAGGGTTAAAACCTTCTAGGAGAAGAAAGCAGGGAGAAAAACCCTGTTCTGATTTGCTTAGTGAACGTTAATTAAGGAGACTGGAGAGAGCAGATTTTTTCAAGACAGAGATGAAAGGCCTACTAATTAAATCTGGGGAGATCCGGCCAGGGCCCTGCTGATCCCTCCTGACAGCTCCACAGCCTCTGGAGGCCAGGGCTGGGGGCACCAGTGCAGAGGGAAAGAAGCCCCCATCCCGGGCCTCGGGGCTCTGCCTTGGAGGCCTGGGAAGGAGCCTTGGCTGGCCCGGACTCCCTGCGGGACCCATGGGCCCCGCCCCTCTGGGACACCTCGTTTTCCCCATCTGGACAGCAAGTGCGTTGGCCTCGGTGGTTTCTTGCAATGCTCTGCTTGGCTCCAAGGCTCTGTAAGTGTGTGTGTCTGGGCCTCAGTCTTCCCTTCTGTCAACTGGGGAGACTCCACCTGCTCCGAGACAGGCAGGCAGAGCAGGAAGTCAGAGCACGGCAGGGGTCTTCCAGGGCTGCGTGGGGAAGCGAATGTGGAGGAGGGAATTCAGTGACTGGCTACGCGTGGCCCCCCAGTGCCTGCTGCCAGGCCCACACTCATCTGTGGGTCTGGTTACGGCCCCGTGGGGACACCATCCTGAGCTTCTGAGCAAGGACAACATGGCCATCACAGATGCTTCCTGGGAGCCAGGCTGGGGCTGAGTGACCCCCTGCACAGGTAAGCGAGGACAGGGAAACTGAGGCTCGGCCAGAGGCAGACCCTTGCCCAAGCCCACCCTACTAGTTAGCCACAGAGCCTGGACTCAAATCCCACTGTGCCGGCCCTGAGCCTGGGCCCTCTTCCACGTCACTCTTGCCCCCGTCCTGCGGGGAGCCCCTGCTCTGGGCCCGCCCGGCCCCGGTGCGGGCACCGGGGCGGCGCGGTGCAGGCAGAGTGGTCCACAGCCTCCCGGGGCTTCCCAGAGAAGGCGGGAGACAGGCGGGGACCCAGGAAACAAACCGATGAGTCAGACAGTGACGGATCAATGCAAGAGCCACAAAAGGAAACAGGTGAGTTTAGACGATCAGAGGAGGCTTCTCGGAGAAGGTGACAGCTCAGTCACCCTGTAAGATGGCGGGGAGGCCAGACAGCTCAGAGGGGGGCTCACGCTGATGGGGGCTGATGGGGGCTCCTCGGCTGTCACCCGCGCGGCGCGTCTTCTCCCTGGAGTTAACACGGTCAGACAGGCCGAGGGACAAGCCTGGCTTTGAGCCATGCCACAGCTCAGTCCGGCAACTGTCCCCACCCCTCTGCTGCGCTGGGCCCAGGATGAGTCAGCCTGGGTGGCCTTCGAATCGAGGGGCCCGGATAAATAAAGGACGCCCCCGTTTTGGGGGGTGCAGGGGCCAGAGGCTGGGCTGTGAAGGAGGGAGCAGCGGCTGTCCGTCCTTCGGTCATTCACGGGCAGACGTCGGCTGAGTCCTGTGACAGGCGCAGGGCTGGGCACAGGGGAGGGACTGAGGGCAGTGGCGAAACTGGCCGTGAACTTGGGGGCCCAGGTACCGAGCTGGTCATGATAACATGGGGCCACCGGAGTAGGCCCTGGGGCTCTGAGAGCGAAGAGGAGGGGTCCGGCCCTCGGCCCGGCCTCTGGCCCCTGCTCGGTCCAGCTCCCGCTTCCTCTGAATACCCAGCATCCACGCAGCGACCCGCGGGCCTGGCACCCCCGCAAGGAAATGCCCATGGCCGGCCCGCACAGACATGGCCCTGCCGTGGCCGGTCACAGCCCGGTCACAGCCGGATGCCCCCCGCCCCATGTGGCCCACAGACGGGCCCAGCCAGGGGTGCATCTTAAAGGCAGGCGGGGAGGCGTCTGACGTGGCCCCCGGGCAGGCGGTCGAGTGGTGTCTCCTTGAACGCCTAGTGAATGACTGCAGGGCGATGAATGAATGATAAGTGCGTGGTACATGAATGAATACTAAGTCAATAAATAAAGGAGTGAGTCTGCGTCAATGATGATGAAAGGACAAAGGAAGGAAGGAAAGAATGAGAGCGTGGATGAGTGGTGATGAAGGAATGCACGCGTGCTCGCCCCCGGGGGCGCGCCTCCAACAGCCTCGGCCCCCCTCCTGGGCCCTCACCCCCCGCGGGCGGGGCTCCCTGGCCGCCCCTCTCCTCCCCTTCCCTCCCGGTGCTCTGACCACACCTGCCGCCTCTCCCCTCGGCCACCTGGAGCCGGCCACGCCCACCTCCTTCACACACACAGCCAGCGCCTTCTCACCTCAGGGCCTTTGCACATGCTGTTCCTTTGCCTGGGGTGCTGGTCCCACAGATTCGGGCGTCCTTCCCTGTCCCAGGGTCCCTGAACAGAGAGGCTCCTCCTGACCTTCCCCAGCACCCAGTGTCATTCTCCCCGCCCCGGCCCCCGACCTGCACCGCACCTGACTCCTCCTGTGTGTACCTGCATGTTTGTCTGTGGTCCATCTCCCCTGTCAGCCTGTGAGCTCCTGGAGGGTGGGGGCTGGGTGGGCCTCACTCACTGCTGTGCTGTGCCCCCCCTTCCTCAGGGGTGAATGAATGGAGAGACGGTACCCACAGGGAGCAAGCAGCGGAGCGGGACGCAGAGTCCCCCGGCAGCACGACCGGCTGGATGCAGCCGCTGGTCCACCCAGCGGGCCCACTGCAGGGAAGCCGTCCTTAAACAGTGATTTCGTTTCTGAGCCCTTTCTGCTGAGGACAAATAAACAGCAATTATAAGTCAGCAGCCAAGCCCAGCAACGGAGGGGAAGGCTTAGGAAAGGGACAAGGGCACTCCAGCTGCCCTGGGGATTCTTAATCTGAGTGCCA